TTTGAGGCCAGCCTGGGCTGCACACCTTGAGTATACAGAAACACCTCCCCACTTGGTGCGGTATGGGTAAGGACGGTGGCCATGAGGTGAGCCTTTATGTCTTAAAGAAACCAAGAACCAGCCCTTTCTCTCTGACACAGGCTTAATGAGTAGGGATAACCACGAAATGAAACAGATTAAAATTAATCTTCCCTAGTGCAACAGGGAATATCACAAAGAATCAACACCTGGGACCTCATCTTATTATAAACCTTCTGCACAGTGAGAGAAACCACCAACAGAGTGGCAAGACAACCGAGTGTGGGAAAAATACTTTACCAGCTGTTCCTCAGACAATGGACTGATAGCTAATATGTAAAGAACTTAAAAAAAATCAGATCCCACAAATTTCAAGACCCAGTCCAAAAATGGGCATCTGAAATGAATAGACACTTAGATGAAGAAGCAGAAACGGCAAATAAATAAATGAAAAAATGTTCAACATCACTGGTCATTCAAGAGATGCAGATGAAAACAACACTGAGATTCCACCTCACCCCAGAAAGAATGGCTGCTATCAAGAAATCAACCAATAACAAATGCTGGCAGGGCTGTGGGGAAAGAGGAACTCTGCTCCACCGCTGGTGGGAGTGTAGACTGGTGCAACCACTGTGGAAATCAGTATGGAGATACCTCAAAGAACTAGGACTAGAGGTCCCATTTGACCCCACTATTCCCCTGCTGGGGATCTTCCCCAAAGAATTAAAAGAATCATACCACAGCGATACATGTGCACCCATGTTTATAGCGGCACAGTTTGTAATAGCACAAGTTTGGAAACAGTCCAAGTGCCCATCAACTGGAGACTGGATAAAGAAGATGTGGTTTTACATACTGTGGAGCACAACTCTCCCATAGAGAATCAACTTGAGACATTTCTAGCTAAATGGATGCACTTTGAGATCGGATACACGTGATTCGATACCACTTTGTTTCTCTGGTGTGAGACCCAAAAATTTAAATAAGGACCAAAATGTGCGGGAGACGGTAATATTCATTATGCCCAAAGCAGGCTCTAAGCAGTGCAGGCTGTGAAGCGTTAACCCCACAACTGGCTTAAGTTTATAGAAGTGAGTCTGGCCGAAGCCTGTGTACCGAGGTCAGAGTAACTCCCACCTAAATTCCGTTCCCACAACTAAAACCTTTGGACAATGTTCTAATTACAACCATGTATTTTGTTTATTCTGTTCCTAATTTGAGAACACTATGTCTTGTCTTTTATGAGCCTTGTTTACATTAGTTTCCATAAAACTGCAGGGACTGGGCATCTTTACATGTAGTACAATCCTTGCATGTATCTCGCCTTTACCCTAACTGATTAACAATAAAAAAATCAGCAGCTTGGACTGGCCAGGCCTTTGTTGGCTGCACCAGCATTGGTCGTCCTGGCTCCCCACTTTCTGTCTCTCTTAGTTCTGTCTTTTAGGTTTTTTCCCTCAGGCTTTTGTTGTACACTGAGCAGGAGACTGGAGCCTACTGCAGAGGTTTCTGGTAACGTATCGCTTCTCAGCCTGGTAGAAGACTGATCAAGTGTAGAAGTTTCTGGTAACGTTTCAGGGGTTTTCAGTAAAAATGTACAATAGATATTGGGAAATGGGAAGAAAATGTCCAAATGAGAAGGGGAACAAGGGAGGAGGGAAGGGGGAAAGGAAAGAAGGCACAAGAAAGAGAACAGAAGAAAAAAATGGAAACAAAGCTTTTGTAAATACAGAGAGGAAGAGGGGTCGAAGGGGAAAGAAAGAACCAGCAAGATACATCATGTACTGGTACAAATTCCCTACAATGAATGTGACCATTATGTTTAGCTGCAATGTACCAACAAATGCTTTGCTTCAAAAGAATATCTGCCAGGCATGATAGCACACGCGTGTAACCCTAGCACTTGTGAGGCTGAGGCAGGAGGACTGCTGTGAGTTTGAGGCCAGCCTGGGCTACACAGTGAGTTCAAGGCCAACTGGAACTGCACAGCAAGTCCCAGTCTCAGAAAACAAAACAAAGGTCTTCCCTAGTGGTAAAAGGAATGAGCTCCCCCTCCCTCCGGGAGAGCATTTTCTTTAGGAACTGTGTTGCTGTAAACCCTTCCATGTGTGTAAATCCTTCAATCCCCACCAGCCTCCCACCGCCCTGCAGCCAGGAGTGCCCTTCTCAAGGACAGGAGCTACCAAGGTATGTGCCTAGCTCTCGGTCACTGCCTGAGCCTCCTGCTGGAAGATGCCAGCTCTCCTGCCTGCTGAAGCCACCTCGATGCCCAGGAAATGTAGGATGAACCAAGCATGATGTTGGTGCCATTGGCTGCCGTCCTCAGAGACATCCGGGAGTTGTATTCAGGGCCTTCACACTGAGCTGCATCCCTAGCCCTATTTTATTTCTGAGACAACTGCTGAGCTGTCCAGGCTAGCAGTGAACTTGGCATCCTCCTGCCTCAGCCTCCCAGAGGGCTGGGATTATAGGAATGCACCATGGCGCTTGGCTCCTTGTTTCCTTTTGATTATTTCTGATGTTGAATTTGGACAGCAGGCATATAAACAACAGATATTAAAACGTGTATGAGAGGAATTCCCCCTCCAGCCATGACCACAGGGCCATGTGGACCAGGCCTTGGGGAAAGACCCAAAGAACTGGGAAATGGTGCCGACTTGGCCCACGGCCCCGGAGGGCCGACGTGGTGCACAGAGTGGCTGGATGACACGGAGACTGAGAAACCACAGCAGCAGCAGAGAAACCCAGTGAAGGCATGAGGTAAGCACAGCAACGGAAATCAATGAGGTGGCAAACCCATGATAACAGAATCAATAAACTCGAAGTTGGTTCTGGGGGCCAGGAGGGAAATGAATGACTCGGGCAGTGTGGGGTGGGACTCCCAGGTGTGTGGGCCAGCGCTGGGAGTCCTGCGGGGCCCACAGGGCCCGGTGACAGCAAAGTTGAGGCTCATGGACGACTCCAACCAGAACGTGACTCGCCAGTGCCGAATTCCATGGCCCTGTGGTTTCCACCAAGATTCAAGGAAGACGGAAGCCGGCATCTCACGGAGGGAGAGCCGTGCCCTGCTGGCTCCGTGCCCGCAGCCTTGTCCCTGGGCTTCAGCTCTGAAAGGCACTGGTGCCACCTCTGCCGCCTGGGCCAGAAGGTGCCCCAGGGTGACTGCAGGGCAGTGCCGGGTTGGGCTGGAGACTTGGAGCAGCAACGTGTGCTATGGCCCTAGCGGGGCCTGGCACAGGGCCATGAGGCCGGCCGGGCACGTGAGGCCCCAGTCACCCTCTGCCACACAGGACACGGGTGCAGCAGCCACGGAGGGCCCCACACCAGCCCCCACCAGACACACGTGCCCCGCGTGAACTCGGCCGCAGCCATGCGTTCTGTGTCAGCTGCAGCCCAGCACCGTGAGGCCGGACAAGCGGGGCCTGGAAGTGTGGCCTTGGCGACCTATTTGTGCTTACGCTGAGAATGCAAGGTCATTTAGGACAACCAGCATAAAGTTTCCACATCGAGGGGCTGGAGATTTGGCTCAGTGGTGCTGCACCTGTCTTGCAAGTGCAGGTCCTGGGTTCGATCTCTGGTACGAAAACAAAAAAATCTTTTTTCTACATTGATAAAGGAGAAATATACGATCCTCTCAATCGATGTAGTATACTTAGATACCTTAGGTAATTCAACTTTTTAAAATTTGTTGTTTTTTTTTTTTGAGACAGGGTCTCACTGTGTACCCCAGGCTGGCCTGGAACTCACAGGAGTCCTCCTGCCTCAGCCTCCCTAGGGTGCGGAGATTATAGGCATGGCAAACTCAACATTTATTAATGATTTTTAGAAAGAAATCTTAGTAAATTCCTAATAGAAAAACATGTGTGGGCTGGGCATTTAGCTCAGTGGCGCTGCACCTGCCTCAGAACTGAAAGGTCCTGAGTTTGATCCCTGGTACCTCAAAAAAATAAAAATTGTAACGTGATGGTATTACAAAAAGACACCTGTGCACACGGGGCCTTCTGTGAGAGGCTGGACAGGAGGCCGCTCTGCCTGTCACACCTGTCCAGCATGGTTCCAGCATCCTCCGGGGTCAGAGGGTGACAGCAAGAAGTTCAAGTAGTGAGTGCAGGAAAGGAAGAAATAAGAGGACGATTTTCTCAGATAATGCGGTTGTGTGCGGATAATTGGAAATAATTTGCAAATAAACCATCAGCGGTAATGAGGCAGATAATCGGCCCCGTTGGGATCTATTAGTAACAAAGTGTAAGGAAAGCAACGTTTCGGCAGAAATCTTTAAAAAGGCACTGAGATATCAGAAGACTACAGACAAACCTAGCAAGTGATGTCCATGCGGAGAGCCGCGCGTGTGAATGCTGGTGACTCGAGGGCGTCTGCCCAGCCAGGCCGGCATCTGTTGCCCGCAGGTCCCACAGGCACTGACCAGCTGTCAGGACTTCCTGTGACTCGCAACTTCTTGGTTTCCCCGCTTTGCGTTTTTCCTTTTGTTTTCAGTCCTGGGGATCGAAGCCAGGCCCTCTGCACTGAGCCGCATCCTCAGACCTTTTGTCACGTTTACATCTGAGACAGGGTATCCCAAGCTTCTGCGTTGTCCACGGTGGGCTGGCACTTGTGATCTTCCTGCCTCACCCTCCAGAGTGCCAGGACGGGGGCGTGGCCCGGCGCCGGCTGAGATCTGCCGGTCTGAGGGTCTCCTCCCCTGAGGAGCCGGCGGGGGCGACGCTGCCTTCGCGGTACACACTGGACGTGGGCCGGGTCGGCCGCCGACTGCCTCCCTCGACATAGCGGGGCCACGCGGGACGCCCGGTACCGGGAGGCTCCGTCCACCGGAAGCGGCCTGCCCGGCACCATGGCAACCGCTGCGCGGCGAGCGCCGTCCCCGGCCGGCCTCAGGTTGCGCTTCGTCGCGCGCCCGCAGCGGCGCCGCCAGCGTGGGTGCAGAGCGCAGTGCTGGGCGCAGGCGCGGACGTGCGCCCCGGGCATGACACATGCGCGTGCGCGGACACGCCGGGGTGGGGGAGATGCCTGCGGAAGTCTGTTTGCATCGTGCGCCTCCTCTGTTTCGGGTAAAACTGCGAAGAGTCGCGCCGCACGAGGTCCGGACGCGTGAGCCATGGTCTCCCGTCCCGCCCGGGCCGCTGCCTGCCCACGCACGCGTCCTCCGCGCCTCTCCGCGGGAGCCGCACCCACCCGGCCACTGTGGATCCAGCCAGGGCCTTCACGCTGGGCTGCACACCACACCCTTTTCTCGTTTTTAATTTGAGGCAGGGGCTTGCTAAGTTCCCCAGGGTGGGCTCAGACTTGCAGTTCTCCTGCCTCAGGCTCCCTGAGTGGCTGGGATTACAACCGTGCTCCACCTGTCCCGGGCCTCTCTCCCCTTTTATAGCTGAGTACTATTTCACTGTGTATGCGTCACATTTGTTTCAACCAAGACATTTCTTGTTACCTTTTAGATACACAGAACATGACATTCGCGCAGGGAATTGCACCTGTTGGAGCCGCGTCTTGCTGCTCCCTCCCCTCCCTTCAGCCCTCTTCCCCTCCTTGTGCAAAAGGTTTGTTTCCATTTTCCCTTCTATCCCCCCTCCACTTCCCATTTGAAGATTCTCTTCCCATTTCCCGGTCTTTATACATTTTGGTCCTTATTTCCACTTCTGGCTTCTCACAGTAGAGAAACCATGCGGGGCCGATTTACCTCAGCTGAGAGTGCAGCCTCAAGGTGAACGCGTCACATTATGTATTCATCTGCTGACGGGCATTTAGCTTATTCCTCCTTTTCGGAATAATTCTGCAGGGAACATGGGCGTAAAAGCACCTGAGACCCTCGTTTCGATTCTTTTGGGTGCATATAGAAAAATGAAGTTGGGACCGGGGATTTAGCTCAGTGGTTCCGCCGCCTGCCTCGCAAGCGCAAGGACCCGAGTTTGATCCCCGGTACCAAAAAAAAAAAAAGGAAAACATATATTTAGGTGTCTGATTTCATCTAACATTGTGGTCTCAAAGTGCCTCCATTTTCCTAAACACACTTTCTTTATCCATTCACCTGTTGACGGGCATACAAGCTGCTTCCAAGATGCAGCTGTTATGGGCTGTGCTGCTTAAACACGGTGTGCATGCATCACTGTAATGTGATCTCTTCACCCCTTTCGGGAAGACACCTGGAAGGGAACAGCTGGGTCAAATGGAACCTCTAGTTTTAGGTCTGTTGAGGAATCTCCATACTGAATTCCACTGTGGTTGCACTAGTTTACACTCCCACCAATAATGCTGAAGGGTTCTTTCCCCCCCAGCCTCACCAGCACTTACTTCATTTCTGCTTTTTTTCCCCTGGTACCAGGGCTTGAACTCAGGATCTTGCACTTGTGAGCCAGGCGTGGTGACACTGAGCTACACCCCTGGCCCTTGATTTCTTGATGATGGCCTTTCCTCCCTCCCTCCCTTTCCCTCCCTCTCTCTCTCTCTTTCTTTCTTGTACCGGAAATTGAACTCAGAGCCTTGCACTTCCCAGGCAGGTGCTGTGCCGCTGAGCCACACCCCCGGCCCATTCTTTCTTAAGTGGGATGAAATGTGTGTTGTTTTTATTTGTATTCTCCACGGACTGAGAATTGAACATTTTTCATGTATTTATTGGCCATTTGAACTTTTTTTTTTTTTTTTGTACTGTGGATTGAACTCGGGTCCTTGCGCTTGCACAGCAGATGGCGAAACCACTGAGCGAAGTCCCCAGCCCCGTTTGAACTTCTTTGTCTGAGAAGCACCTGGTCTTGGCTGGGTCTTTTATTTGGGGGGTTAATTCTTCTGAGTTCTTTATATGTTCTACATCTTAGTCCTCTGCAAAGAATGGCTGGCAATTTCTTTCCCATTCTGTAGGGTGTCTCTTCACTCTGTTGGTTGTTCTTTTTGGTGTGCAGGAGTTTTAAAATTTGATGTGATCTTATTTGTTGATTTTGGTACTATTTCTTGTGTCACTGGTTCTGTTTACAAAGTCCCTCCCTATGCCTCCAACTTCAAGAGTTTTACCTGTTTTATCTTGCAGTAGATTAAGTGTTTTGTTTTGCTGTCTATTCTTTGATCCATTTTGACTCTAGCTTAGTGCACGGGTCTGGACTCACTCAGTCTTCTGCATGTGCATAGCTGGCCTTCCCAGCACCTTTATTTTTTATTTTTTTGGTACCAGGGATTGAACTCGGGAACTTGTGCTGGCGAGGCAGGCGGCAGCACCACTGAGCTAAATCCCCTGGCCCTCCAGCACTTTTGTTAAAGAGGCCGTCGTCGTTGTCCAGTGTAGCTTTGGTGCCTTTGTCACAGGTCAGGGGAGCGCTGAATGGCAGTGCTGTTTCTGAAGCCTCGGTTCTGGTCCACTGGTCCAAGGCCTGCTTTGTGCTGCTTTCGTCACTGCACCTGTGTGATACAACCTGAAATCTGGGCTTGTGACGCCTGCTGCTTTGCTTACTGCCAGGGCTGCTTTTGTGAGTCTGGGTCTGCTCTGTTCCAGGTGAGTTTTAAGCTTTCTCCAGCGCTGAGGAATGCTGTTGGTACCGTGCCTGGGACTGCACTAGGCTACCCCAGCTGCACGTAGGGCCTTTGGGCCACAGTGGCTCTGCCTGCCTGGGAGCCGGGATGGCTTCCATTTCCTGAGAACCCCTCCGTTTTCAGAGGAGTACTGAGTTTTTGTTACAGAGGTCTTCATTTCCTTTGTCAGATTAATTCCTAAGTATTTAATTTTCCTTGCAGCTGTTGTGAATGGGATTGTTTTCCTAATTTCTTTTCCGTGCCTTCATTACTGCGGAACAGGAACGCTATGATCTTCGTGTGCTGATTCTGTATCTCGCTGCCCGCTGGATGTGTTGGTTCTAGGAGTCTCCTGGTAGAGTAATTTGGGTCTTCTATGGAAAGGACCGTGTCATCTTTGAAGGGTGACCTGCCTTCTCCCTTCTCCCAAGTTACTCCACCTCTCTCTGGCTGGCGCTTGCTGGAGGAGCCGGGATGGGCAGGAGTGGTGACAGTGGACGTCCTCACCCCACAGGAGATGCTCTGTGCTTTCCCCAGTAACATGAGGCCCGGGCAGGCGGGCAGGCCCTTCCACTGCTGATCTATGGAGATGCCCCGCAACCTGGAAAGAAGCCACGCCCGTTTTGGCTTGGACATTTCGCCCTAAGCAGCCGTTTTCTTGGTTCTCTGCCAAGCAGGACCTCACCTCGAAGGTGCCAACCTTTCTGGCTGAAGCAGGCTGGTGCCAGTGGCACCTCCGGGACCAGTGAAGGGTGAGTCCCCCACACCTCGGGTTTCCAAGCGCGAGTCCTCCCCAACTGGTTTCTTTCCTGGTCCCCTGTCCCAGACAGAGTACCATCCGCTGAATCCTGGAAATTGCACCCAGGGAACGCTGAGCGACACCCCCAGCCCTTTTTATTTACTTTCGAATGTTTAAGACAGGGTCTCACTAAGTTGTCCACGCTGGCTTCGAACTTGCCACCCTCCTGCCTCAGCCTCCCAAGTAGCAGAGATGACAGGCAGCCTGCCCCCCGCAAGGAGAAAGCTGTGTGCACTCCACGTGGAGTCCTCTTTCTGTGGGTGCCTCCTTCCCGAGGTTCCTTAATCCACACAGAACTGGCCTGGCCTGGGGGCGCCGTCCTCCGCCCTCTGCCTGCCCCATCCAGTTACCGAACCAAACCAAGCAGCATCGGAAACAGGTGGCTTCCCTGTGGGTTCTGAACCGTGTGGGTCAGGAGTGCACTTTCCACAAAGCCGCCTGGAGAGGCCTCGGTGTCAGGAACTCAGTTCTCCTTAGCACACGTTTGCTACACACGTGGGTCACATTCAGCATGGAATCTGGACCCGGAGGTGACGCATCTGAGTTTCTTTTCCTCTTCCCTTCCCTTCCCTATATCCAAAAGCTGTTTCCATTCTCCCCTTACATCCGCTTTTCCCTTCCTTCCCTCTCCCTCCTCTCCCTTGTTCCCCTGCCCGTGTGAACACGTTCTGCCTGCTTCCCAGCGTCTGTCCTCCATGTGCTCCTTGTTTACCCTTTGGGTTTCTCACACAAGAGAAGCAGTGCGATACTTAGACTTGTGTGTCTGATTTATTTCACTTAGGATTATGGTCTTGAGGCACATCCGTTTTCCTATAGATGACTCAAGTTTATCCATCTTTATGCCAGAGTAGTACTCCACTGTATATAATAATACATCTTCTTTATCCAGTTTCCAGTTGATGGGCATTTGGGCTGCTTCCAAGCTTTAGCTATTACAAACTGTGCCGCTATAAATATGGGTGTGCATATATCGCTGTGGTGTGATGCTTTTAACTCTTCCAAGAAGCTACCTGGGAGAGGGATAGCTGGGTCAAAGGAACCTCTAGTTCTGGCTTTTTGAGGTATCTCCACACTGATGTCCACAGTGGTTGCACCAGTCTGCACTCCCACCAGCAGTAGAGAAGGGTTCCTTTTTCCCACAGCATCTCCAGCAATTATTGCTGGTTAATTTTTTGATGATAGCCATGCACACTGAAGTGAGCTGGAATCTCAGTGTTTTTTGTTTTTTTTTGTTTTTTGCGGTACCGGGGATCAAACTCAGGACCTTGCGCTTGCAAGACAGGCACAGCACCACTGAGCTAAATCCCTGGCCCTCAGTGTTGCTTTTCGTTTGTTGAATGACCAGCGATTTTAGATGAACGTGTGACATCCACTTCCACCTAATTTCAGACACAAAACAGCGTGCAGGCCAAGGGTATCTGTAGGCAGAAACTCACGGCGCCCCAGCTGGTCGACAGAGCGGCGCTCTGGGCTGCTTATTGCACACCACGCCTGCTCACTGCCCTGCTGAGGCATCTCTGCCGAAGCCCAGCCGCTCCAGGACCAGACCTGCGGCAGCCACTGCACCCCGGGGCTGTACCATGTCTGTCTCCTGCCACCCACTTCTTTCACATGGACAAAGGGTGCTCGGAAGATTACTGCTGCATTTCTCCTTGCATCTCTCAGGGATTTTACAACACAAACTTGATGCTTTGAAGAAAACCTTTATTTTGAAATGATTTCAGACTACTGGGGCCCCCACACCTCTCACCTTGAGTCCCTGGTCTTTAGTGTCTCACCATGTTCCTCTCAAAATCTCCTCTGCCTGTCTGTCTGGATTTATTGCCTGATCACCGACAGTAGGTTTCTTCTAGTCTTGGTGGTGCACGCCTGTAATCCCAGCACTTGGGAGGCTGCAGCAGGAGGATTGCTGCAAGTTTGAGGCCAGTCTGGGCTACACATGAGATTGTGTCTCAAAAAACAAACCAAGGGCTGGGGATTTAGCTCAGCAGTTCCACCGCCTGCCTTGCAAGCACAAGGACCCAAGTTCGATCCCTGGTACCAAAAAAAAAGAAACCAAAACAGGGCTGGGGATTTAGCTCAGTGGCGCCACGCCTGCCTTGCCCAGTGGCAAGATCCAGAGTTCATCCCTGGTACCAAAAAACAAATTAAAACAAACAAAAGAACAAAAAGAGAGGGTAGGTTTCTTCCCTAGGCCCCTCGCTCCCGGGTACCTGAGTGGCCCCTCCTAAGCAGGCCCCCTGCCAGCTGGCCACAGCTCTCAGGCAGGCCCGGGAAGCACACGGACATGGTGCCATCTCGGGGCTTGGCCACCACCCAGATGGCTCAGGTCACCCCAGGGTGTCCTTCGAAGTCCAGGGTCCCGGTCTCCACTAGTGTGGCCTTGTCCCTGCTGCCACACTCGGACGCCGCCCTTGGTGACAAGGCCATGGCGGCGTGCTGTGCTGTGCTCCTCTGTGGCAGTAGCTCGGCACTGGGCAGCGTCCCCACCGTGAAGACAACTCCGGGAGACACCGGGACCGGGCTGCACCAGACAGCTCTGGGGAGCACACAGCGGTTCCCAAAGTCAGCCCCTGCAGGGCCCAGCTGGCCGCCCTCTGTCAGCCTGCAGCTGGGCTCGTACGGTCGGGATGCAGGGTCCTCGCTCCTCTCAGGCTGCTCGGCTCAACTCTGTCCCTGGTGCTGCCTGAGGACGGAGGCGGACGGGCAGCGGGAGCAGTGGTCACACTACTCCGAGTAGCGGAAAACACACACCACGGCAGTCTCTAACATAAGAGCGTGAGGTGTAAGTTTAGCCTTTGCTTCTGCTCCCCATGTATAATTTCAGGGGCCACCACGGCAGTTCAGGGGCTCCTGAAATCCTGCAGTCCACACTGCAGCTGGCACAGGCAGAAGTGGTGGAAGTGACAGAGCAGCGCCTGGGGCTGGCGTGGCTGAGGTGCGCGTCCGGTTGCATTTTCACTTGGTCTGTGTCAGATTTATCACTCACATCTCCATCTAAATTCCTACTTTTAAATTTTACTGCATTCATCTTTAAATACAGGGGTAGGGCTGGGGATTTAGCTCAGTGGTTTCACCGCCTGCTGCGCAAGTGCAAGGACCCGAGTTTGATCCCCGGTACCAAAAAAAAAAAAAAAGGGAAACGAAATGGCAATAAAAACAGTTGGAACAGTTGGCTGCACACACACACACACACACACACACAAAGGGGCTGAGGGTGCAGCTCAGTGCGAGGACCTTGTTCAACCCCAGGGCTGCAAAACAAACAGAACACCTATGCGTGAACCCCGAAGATACTAGCTGATCACAACATTAAACGTATAAAAAATAAGATCTTCAAAGACTTCAGAAAGTACAACTACCAAGGATTATGGAATAACTATGTAAATGTGATTTAAAAATAAGAGAAGCTCAACAACATGCTCCAAGAAGGAAATCTTAAAAATAACCAAGTTAGAAATAAAAAATAGAATTGAAATTTAAAAATCAATGTACTGAATAAACAGTAGATTATATACATATATATACATATATGTGTATGTATATATTGCTGATAAGAGAATTCATGACCAGGAAGACTGAGCCAAACAAGTGACCTAGACTCCCAATGGGTAAGGACAAAGAAAGAAAAAATATTTTTAAATGATTGCAAGTAGCACAGGCCTATAAGCCCAGCTACTTTGGAGGCTGAGGAAGGAGGATTGCTGTAAGTCCGAGGCCAGCCTGAACTACATAACAAGACCCTGTCAAACCAAAAACCAACCAACCAAACAAACGGGCGGGGATGTAGCTCAATGGTAGAGAAACCCTTGGGTTCCATCCCAAGCATCCCAACAGAGATGGGTGGGTTCTCAGAGAACGAGTCTTTCACAGGGGCTGTGCAGCAGCAACCGAGCGGAACACCTCTCGGAACCCTCCGGGAGTGGGAGATGGGCTGCGCGCACCGTACATAGCAGCTGCAGGCCTGTGATTTTTCCAGTACTGAGTTCAAATTCTGATCCTGTGATTGGTTCAAGTAAAGGCCTGTGAAGCCTTCAAATTTGAACCCTGTGATTGGTCCAGGTACAAACGGGTTCAAATTTGGGCCCTGTGATTGGTGCAGGGCTCCAGGAGCACCAGTGGAGGGCGAGGCGGGAGCTGGGGAATCTCCTGGAAGGATGTCTGCTGTCAACGCGAGCCGTGAAGTGGCTTCTGAAGAGACAGGGCGCCAGGCACGGCCCGGCCGCGGAGCTGCACGCACGGGTGGGGGAGTGGAGATGGACGGCTCAGCGGTCAGCGGTCAGCGGTCCCGCCCAGCGCAGGCCACGCCCCCCGCCCCGGGAGCCGTCGCGGAACTGAAGATGGCGGCACCCAACACAGAACAGCACTGCGGGCCGGAAGTGAAGGCGGGAGCCCGAGAGTGAGGCGGGCTGGGCTGCTGCATCCGCAGTCGTGGCGCAGACGACCTTCCGGCTTCCACGGCTTCCACGGCTTCCACGGCTTCCACGGCGCTTGCGGGCGCAGACTCAGTCCGTGAACGTGAGTCCGGGCCTGGCGCCACTGTGGGAGTAGCTTCTAAAAAGGCGCGTCTCTCCACAGAAATACTGCAGCAAACCAAGGACAGCCGTGCAGGCAAACCCAAGTCTGTCGAGGTTATAAAGAGTTTATCCCCCAATATGCAATGATTTCTCAAAATTAGAAAATAATGCCAGCGTGGTGGTGCAGGCCTGTGATCCCAGCACTCAGGAGCCTGAGCCGGAGGAGCACCATGAGTTCGAGGCCAGCCTGAACTACTAAGGTAGCAAGACCCTGTCTCAAAAAAAAACCAAAAAGAAAGCCAGAACAGTGGCTTAAGAGTGTTGGAAGCAAGTGGGAGAATTTTGAGGGAGATCAATGGCAGCATGTTTTTTGCTATAATAAATATAAACATCCACCATATATTTTGACCAGCCTTGTAAAAGAGATTTTTTAATGTTAATGTAATAAAAAGTGAAGTTTGTTTTGTTTTTTGAGACAGTCTCGCTATACAGTTCAGACTGGACTTCAACTCACTCTGTAGCCCAGGCTAGCCTCAAACTTGCAGAGATTCTCCTGTCTCAGCTTCCCAGTGCTGAGATTACAGGCATGTGCCACCACACCTGGCAAAAAGTGAAGATTTTTTGCAGAGATGAACAAAACAATCAGAGATGAAAATCTCAAAATTAGGGCTGGGGATTTAGCTCAGTGGTTCCGGCACCTGCCTTGCAAGCACAAGGTCCTGAGTTCAATCCCCGGTACCAAAAAGAAAAAAGAAAAAAAAAGAAAATCTCAAAATTTAAAACTTCTGAATGACACAGAAGCCATAAACAAATATAACCAAGGCAGCTTAGAGAAAATATTTGTACGTAACCAAGCAATAGGAAAAGGGATAATTTTAGAATAAATACAAATGGCCAATACAGACCCAAAAAGTATCACAAAATCACAACACGAGGAAAGTGCAGATCACCCAGGTACACAGCTGTTTGGACGCTTACACACGTGCGTGTGTCTGTGTGTGGACACATCCGGTCACACCCTGAAGCTGAAGTGTGGCCGCCTCTGCTCATCCGTGTCGGTGAAGCACATTAGAGCACAGCCTCGCCAGCCACTTGGCAGAAAGCTGCATGTGAAACCCTTTCTACTAAACTCCATCCCCTGCATCTATCACGGAGCAGTGCTCAGACAGGGCAGGGTGACATTACAGAGATTTTCATTTCAGAATGTTGCCATTTTTTCCAGAAAAATTTGAAACTATCTTTCTCAAGGGCAAATGGGTAGACATGAAAAAAGCAGCCAGTGGAAGGTCAACACCTAGGTACCGTCCCATTTCTGTAAAATAAGTGCAAAGCCCAGGGCTGGGCATGGTGCAGGCTCAGGGCATGTGCCCAGGGTGCAGGAGACCCTGGGTTCCATCCCCAGTACCACGGAAAAGAAGAACAAAAAGGCAAAGCAAAGCTGCAGTTACTGCTCTGGTTATCAGCGGCAGGCAACCAGCACCCCCAAATCTGGCAAACATCTGCTGTGACTGTGGCCTGGGCAGGGCTGGGTGTGGAGCCAGGGCGCTTGGGGACCTGGGTTCAACCCGCAACAATGCAAAGCAGCATCAGCACGAAGCACAGCAGCAGCACATGGTGACAGCAATGGTGGGGTTGCTTGTACAGCCAGTGATGCCAAACACCTTCACTGAAGCTGGCTTGCTTCATAAGCATTTTCTTGTTTAATGGAAAAATTCCTACTTCAGTGAAGCCACTGATTGCTACACAACAAAATTTAACCTGTTATGGTATAGCAACTTCTTTGTAAATTGGGATTTTATTTTTATTTATTTTAGGTTTTTTGAGATGGGGTCTCACTATATAGTTCAGGTTGGCCTTGAATTCACTACATAGCCCAGGCTAGCCCTAAATTCACAGTGATCCTCCTGTCTCAGCCTCCCGAGTGCTGGGATCACAGGGGTGCGCCACACCTGGCTCATTAAACTGGGATTTTAAATCAGAAACAACCAATTCCATTTTTCTAAACAAAATTAGCTACTACCAAGTATTTGGGGCGAGGGAAGTGACCTACTCCATTCCTTCACAGCTGTTTGCCAGCGTTCTGGAGGGAATGGGGGACAGCTCACTAGTTAGTGTGCTTGGTTTGGGAGTTAAATCGGAATAATTAGGTAAATACTCTGAAGCAGTCAGTGCCCCAAACAGAAAACCTCAGGCGGCCGAGACTTTGCAGTGGACTCGTGGGCAGCCAAGGTAACATGTATCTCAGTGTCACCTTCCAGCCCCAAGGAGAACTTCAGGAGGTGTCATAACAGGCAGACAAGTTCCGTCTTACTCACAAGAGGCCCTGTCTAGCAATGGACCCCGATGAAAAGCCCGAAGTCAGCTCCAGAACTGCTCACAACCATCTGGACCCCAGAATTAATGAGGGATGGGCCTCGAGCTCAAAGAAAGGGTCAAGGTGGGTGTGGTGTAGTTTATAATCCCAGCACCTGGGAAGCTGAGGCAGGAGGATGACAAGTTTGAATCGAGCCTGGGCAACATAGAACATGGCTCAAAATAAATAAAAAAACCGGAAAGAGGGTTTAAGGGATGTAGCTCAGTGTGATGGCTGAGTTAGACCCCAGTACTAAAAAAGAAAAAGTGGGAGATGGGAGACAGAAGACCTCCATAAACCCTTCTGCATATGCTGCTAATGCCAAAGAGTCACAAGTTTCTAGAGTGAAGGCGCTCAACAGGGATCTAAAAGTACAGACGCTGGTGCTGCAGTGCACTTGTAACCTCAGCCCTCAGGAGGCTGAGGCAGGAGGATTGGGTCTTCCAGACCAGCCGGGGCAACCTAGTGAGCTCAAGGCCAGCCAGGGCTCCACAGGGTGACCCTGACTCTAAATGAATAAACGGTACTGAGACAGCCTAACCCCTCCATCGGGAACTCCACGCCAATGTGAGCTCATCGGTATTCCTGCTGAACTCCTGCCCCCTGTGAGCACCATGCAACAGTGAGGTGGCTTTGGCATCAGGCCTCTTGTGGCCCGAATCACAGTAGAAAGCAAGCCGGGTCGCCATGGGCGTAGAGTACCCACAGTCTGCGGGGCGCAATGGGCGCGCACAAGTGACAGAGAGGCTCCAGGAAGCCACCGTCCATCCGCCAGCCAGCCCAATGCCCCTGACTCGCTGCATGGAGCCCCGAGCTGTCTTCCAAGCACTCACCCACTGGAGCTGGGCCTGTTGCCTGGGGCTATCAGGTGACCTAACCTGCCATCAAGCAAGCTCTGACTCCCGATTCAGGGAAAAACAGCATCCCTTTGGAGCTAGGCGGAAACCTCTCACGAGGGAAGACTCACTCCTCAGAACCCTCTCCACAAAGCCTGACCAAAAGCCAAGCTGCCTTTTCCACAGCAAACCCCACAGGGCGAAGGCAGGGCTGGACATGGTGGACACCACTCGGGCTAAACAGGAGAGCCCCTCTGAGCAGCCATGCTAGACTTCACCCCTGTTCATTTTCATCATTAGGCCCAATCAGAAGGGAGAAACCATCACAGATTTCACATAAGCAGAGAGCCCTTATTCTTGTCATCACTGCATTTTCATCAACCATTTTAATTCTCTAACTTATACGTGCTTTGCTCATTATCTGTCTAGGTAAACCTCATCGAACTTAAACACTCAAGATTCCCACAGGTTATGGAGTTTTGGTGCAAAGTAAACACCTAAATATATGTGGTTATGGATGTGCAAATGTTCATGTGCAAGGAGTTGCAATTATGGGCAGCCACAGTGGCACGTGCCTGTAATCCCAGCACTCTAGGAGGCTGGGGCAGGAGGATCAGAAGTTCCAGGCCAGCCTCAGCCACTCAGTGACTTATGGAGACCTGTCTCGAAAAGCCAAAGGGCTAGGGATGGAGCTCAGCGCAAAGGCCCTGGGTTCAGCTCCCAGTACCACACAGGTAGACCAAGTAAGGGAAATTCTAATGTCTGCCCAAGGACAAGTCACACTTGTCTGCTAAATAACCATCCCTAATGGAGGCCAATAGGAAGCAGAATTTATCCCGCACTAGTCCCCAACAACGGTTTAACAAAATCAAACATTCAGAAAGTAACGGTTCTGTGCACGATAAATGCACACCCACGGCTGCCACCATGACTACCTGGCACCGCTCAGTCTCCAAGGCCCAGGATGACAGGGAGGAGGGGCAGACCCAGGAGAAAGCTAAAGTTACTGCCCCTTGTGGAGCTGGCGGGGACTGCAGGTCCTTGGGGAAGAAAATCCCCGTGGTGAGGGACACAGGTTGTCAGGGTCACGGGGAGCCTGAGCCAGGGTCCGCAACTTTCTCCTGAGGGCCAGAGAGGACGTCACTGGTGCAGCTACGCAGCCAGACAGCACCTGGGCAAAGAATCGTGGCTGATTTCCAGGGAAGTCTACTCACAGATGCTGACATTTGTTTCTGGTCACGTCTGTGTGTCATGAAGTAGGCTTCTTTGTAAGCACGGCCACACAGAACCAGGAACTAGGCTGGGCCTGGGGGCTGCGCAGTCATGCCCGACCTCTGGTCTCCAGGTAGAGCCCCCTGACACAACTCTGCTGGCCATTAGGTAACTCGACTAACGAACAAGTGGCAAGAGTACCACAGGTGCGTAAGCTCTGCCTAAGCTGTTGGTACATCAATGTTGAGACGAAAAGCATTAAAGGTTAAGCATGCTGCCGGAGGACCTAACTGCCCAAGTTTCTTTTATTCTGTCTGCAGCTCTCACACACACGCAGCAGCAGCACTGTGGCTGGACTTGCCGTGCAACAAGCAGGGCACAGTCTCTGGAAGACACTTTTCACACCTTACATGAGTCAGAGGTGGCCACACTTTGATCCCCGGCAGCAAACGCCAGGTCGCAATTTTGTGACTATACCACTTTGGCTTGACTTAATAAAAATGCACCCAATCATTTAAAAATGGCCTTTTGGGGACCAGGCCAGCATATAAAATTCCTGTCATGTAAAATTTAACCATTTGCCTTTTCACTTTTTTTTTGGTACCGGGGACTGAACTTGGGACCGTGTGCTTGCGAGGCAGGCGGCAGCACCACTGAGCCAAATCCCTGGCCCAACCTTTTTAACAAATAACCTTTCAACTTTAAACCTGTTACTTGATTGTTGTATGGATCTACGTTACGGTGGCAAGAGACAGATTCAGTACGGGTGATGGTTTTAGCAGCCTATGACGTTTTTACCAGATAAAAGAGCTAAATGAAATCTTTACTTTCCACACTTACTGTGCTGGGCTGCTTCCAAATCACACCCCCACTCCCCAAAAATCAGTCTAAGACTCACTGAAGTGTTGAATTCAAACCTATATTTGCAGTTTCTAAAACACTGATCCACAGACCACTGCCTGGTTACATGTGTGCCAGGGAAAGCAGAGGCCGAGAACCCCTGCCGCCCCATCCCGGAAAGGACAGGAAGGGCCCCTTGGCCAGTGTCCTTTAAAAATATACATCTGACAACACCCACACCTCCAGCACGGCGGCGATGGAATAAATACACTGGTCCGGCTGTCCCGCGTCAGCAAATGTCTGCAAACTACCTGTTGTAAGCCCGCTCTTTTTTGGACTTCTCCAAGGCTTTGTCCATCGTTTTCTCGTTCTCCCCCCGGCACTTGGGACAGTACCACTTGCCCTTTGGTTTATGGTTGAGGCCGACGCACGAGAAGTGGAACCACTCAATGGGGCACTCGTCGTTGTCGCAGCCGATCATCTCCCCGTAGGAGACCTGGTTGCACAGACAGTACGTCGGCTCGTTGGGGTCGATGGGGAGGTCTGCGGGGGACGCTTCCCTCTCCGCTTTGGCTTTGGAACGTTTTTTCTTCTTGGAGGTTTTCGCCTTCTTCTCCTTTGGTGTTCCTGAGCTGATGTCATCGTGATCGTGATTATTAGAGGCGTTCTCGCGATTCTCATTGTTTCGCTGCCGCCGTGACCGCTTGTTGTTCGGCTTTTCCGCCGAACTGATTGTCTCGTTCTTCGACTTCTCTTGGCTGGCCTTGCCGATGCTGCCCGGGGTGTCGCCGAGCTCCTGGTGGGCCTCAAAGAGCTCCATGTGGCTGTCCACCTGCCTGGTCCGGTTCTCCACCAGCTCCACCATCTGACTCACGATCTGGATCTTCTCGTCGCCCAGCTCCTGGCTCCGGATCAGGGCTCGCTGGATGCAGTGCAGCAGCCGCCGCTTCTGGGCGCCGTCTGTCTCCCGCTTGAACTTCTCATAGTACTCATCCAGCTCCTTCAGGACCTCTGCGAACAGAAACAGTGTGCATTACACAGCACGCTACGGGCACCAGTGAAGACCCCACGCAAGCCCTCGCCTGTGAGGGTAACTGCGGAGCAGAAGTGACCGTGGGGAGTCCCCCTGTAGCAGCCCTACCCTGCACAGCTGTTCAGACTCCACCAGCAGCCGGGATGCTCTCAGGCAGGGCCGCACAGGGACCCCCATGCCTAACGCCTGGGGCCAAGAGGCCGATCCAGACTGAGGGACCGGGCCCTCTGTTGCCCCGGCTCCGGCTCCTCCTGGACCTTCCCGCACCGTTCTGCAATACTTCTGGAGACAAGAACGGTTTGGCTCGCATAAACCTGAGCCGCAACTTTCTCAACACTAAAACACAACTTAGTTTTGCTTTAAAGCGAAAGTGGCAGATCTTACTTTTGCATCTTCTACTTACAATGTCACTTTTAGGGTTAGCTGTGAAAGTCAACAGATTAAAAACATCAAAACCAAAAATCTTTTGCTATTAAATGTAAACTTTCTTGGCTAGAATACAGTGTATGGGACTTAAAAATACAATTTGTCAGATGTATACCTGATAACTTCTCAGGGAAAAAGCTGTTAAAATTACCTAATTAAAATACAGTAAATTTTTTTTTTTTGGTACTGGGGATTGAACTTGCGCTTGCGAGGCAGGTGGCAGAACCACTGAGCTAAATCCCCGGCCCCCGTAACTAAATATTCTAGACAAAAGCCTATTTAGATACAAAAACTCCCAAAGTTATTTTTCTCCAGCAATAAATAGCAGCAGATTTTTCTCCAAAAATCTGTTTTGCAGTCACTGGACTCTCCAAGGAGGAGGTGTGTGGGAAGGGGAGAGCTGACGCTGTCTAGACTGCTGCCCACTGCGCTTTGTAGACCGCATTTCCAAACAGAAGACTCAGCCTGACCTGAGAATAAATGTGTGAGCTCAGCCCGGGCCGAAGCACACTGACATGGTAAGGGTTATGTTCCAGCTCCCGAGGGATTTCCTACAGGATCCACGCAGCCTGGCACAAGAAAGGAGATGGAGGGGCTCACAGTCTACCTTAGCTCGTTCCGAAAATTCACCCATCCGACTCACTACGACTGATGCTAAAATGTGAGACTGAGCCATTTATTTTTGGTACCGGGGATCGAACTCGGGTCCTTGCTCTTTCGAGGCAGGCGCCGGAACCACTGAGCTACATCCCGGCCCTGAGCCGTTTACTTCTAAGTGGACCGCGCGTTTGGGAGCTGTATGTGGTTTAAGCAGTAATCGCATTCCGCGGAAGATACAATTCTAGGTATCGCTGACTGAAAACGGCACACTGCTTCCTCCTGCACCACGAGCACGCTCATGTCCAGGCGAAGCTCACCCGTGGGAGCCAACACGGAGCAACTCAGGTACACGGCGGCACGCACTTCTCCGGCGTCCTGGCGGAGCCATCTGTCACAGCAGCCACCGAGGACGACACGCGACGCTGCAGGCCACAGCTGACCCAACACCACGGAGGGCGCGGGCTGCTGCGAGTTTACGGCCACGGCTCGCTGAGGGCCCAACAGCAGGTTCCCCTCAGAGACCGGCAACCTCAAAGGCCGCCTACACCGGCAATGCATAGCCCCGCTCTCGGCCGGCCCGGCCCAGCCCGAGGCAGGCGGCTGGCTTCGAGCCCGGGCTCCTCGGGCGGACGGAAATGCCAGCTCCAAGTGGGACGGGCGGCGCCCCAGCACCAAGCCCAATGAGGGAGCACCTTAGGATCGGCCAAGAAGCGGCTCGCAACTCCTGCGGGTCCCCGGGGTCGAACCCACAGTCTCAGCAGCTACTCAGGAGCCGGGGCCGGCGCCCTTGATCCGCGGCCGGAAGTGGCCAGACACCGTCTACGGCAGGGACAGGGAGGGGCAGGGCAGGCTCTGGCCAATGGGAAGAGAAAGCCACGGCCCGCCCCGAGAGCCGCCACCTATGAGGGCCGATGGGCTGGGGGGGGTGGAGGCCAGGAGAGGCACCAATCAAAATGCAGGACCTGCGAGCACGGCCCGCCCCAGAGCACCAGGAGCCAACCCTGGGCCTGAGGCTGGGCGACCCGAAGGCGTTCAAATCAACTCGACCTCCTCCCTACGCCCCGCCCACCTCCGAAAGAGGAAAAAAGAAGGCAGCCGAAACACAGACCCGTGCCACTCACTGGCAAGGTCCGCCCTTATCCCGCCCGGCCACCAATCGCAATGCAGCGGGCAGATAAGGACATTCCATGAACGATGTCACGACCAATTACAAGGAGGCCGAGGCGGAACGGTCCGCAATATGCTAATGAGTTCCTATAAAAATCGCTGCGAAACAACGTCTCGGGCAGAGCGCACAGGGGCGCTTTACCCGGCGGGTGGACGGGCGGGCGGGGGGGCCTTAGTGTATGTCGCAACGAGTCGTTGCCTTCCACTCCCCCCAACTCTTCTGTTTCCCTGCTGCGCAGCCCTGTAAACATTAGTAAACTCCGAGCAAAGACCACGTTCAAAACGAGGCCGCCAAGGTCTTTCCTGACCTCGCAAGAAAGTTTCCCCAGCAGCCAGCGATTCCCGGCGGACAGGAAGCCTGCACCGCTCTCCACCACCTCGGGCGGTTGGGTCTGCAGGGCAAGACCCACAGGTCCCCTCCCGGCCGCGTTCGGCTCCGAGCTCCGGCACAGCACAGATGGGCTCCCTCCTCGCCCGCGCTCCTCCCCTCCCCTCCCCTCAGACACCCGAAAAAGCCCTCGTCCTCCGCAAACTACTCGGCGGCATCGCCCCTCGCAGTCGGCCCCACTCCGCCGCGTCCAGTGCCGAGGGAGCCTTGGCGGGGGCAGCGAACGGCTCCGACCTCGGACAGCCCGGGACTTTACGTAACCCGGCCCCAGGACCGGGCGGGGGGCGTCAGTCCAGCCGCGCGAACTGCAGCCGCCCCTCGGTGCCCCCTCCCCCGCCCCGTCACCGCCTCGCTCACTACAAAGAGCGCTCTGGCCGCGCAGCCTGCAGCGAGCCGCTCGCTCCTTCCTCCCCGGCCCGGCCCCGGCGGATCGCAGGCGCCGGCCCTTTTGTTCCCGCCCGCCGGCCGCCGCTGCCCGGTGCAGCGGGACCCGGTGGCCACGGCCGCCCCCGCCCATCCATCCGCCGTACCTTGGTATTTCGCGTCGATCTCCCGCATCAGCGAGACGTTCCTCTGCAGGTCGAAGGGCAGGGACTCGATGGAGTCCAGGTAGTCCTCCACATAGTTCACCAGGTGGACCTGCTCGCCGTTGGCAGGACTCAACATGGTTCACCCGGAGGTCCCCGGCGGCTCGGCGCGGCGCGGCTTTCCGCTTCCTCCACCCCCCGCCCCCCTCCAAAACAGCACCGCAAAATGCACGGCGCCCGCCCTCCAGCGCCCTCCGCGGCTCCGGCCCGCCCGGCCGCCGCTACATCCACTGCCCCGGGGCCGCGGGGATCCCGGCGCCTGGGCGCGGGCCGCGGCGGCGGCGAGGCTCCGGGGCGCAGGCCCCCTTCCCGGAGACGGCGGCGGTCGCGGGGGGCCGCGCGTACGGACAAGCACACCGACCGGGAGGGCGCGGGGCTCCGCTGCCGCCGCCGGGCCGGGGACCGCTGCGGGGCAGGGTCGGCCGTGAGAAGGGCGCGCTCGGCCGCCTACCGCTCCGCACTTGTCCAACGTGGAAAACCCAAATACCAGTTTCAAACACTTGGGAAACATTCAGCCCCGCGCGCAGCGCGCATGCGCCCCTCACCCCCCCCCCCCCGCCCGCTCTCGGCGGCAGCCCCGCCCCCGCCGCATTCACGCCCCTCACCGTCCCGGGCCGGGGGGCGGCGGGCCGCGAGGCAGGCCGGCGGGGGCGTGGCTTCGCCTGTCACTGGCGCTGGGGCGCGGGGCGCGGAAGAGGCCGCGGCAGGGCTGCCGGGAAGGGGGCGGCGGGCGACGCGCAAACTTTACTAGGAGTTTGGCACTTGGCGGCGAGCTGCTGTGCCGTGCTGCAGGCCGGCCAGGAGGTCCCGGAAGAAGGCCTGCTTCACTGAAGACCGTCCCGGGGCCGGACGGGCCGCGGAACCGCCGCCTCGCAGACTGGGGCACAACTGACAGCTCCTCCATACCCCCCAGCCTTACTCGTCACTCCGCCCCGCAGTGCGGTATAAGTAGTGTCCGGCACAAAACTGGCAACTCCCAGAGCCAATCCACTTCCTGGCCTTACCTCTATGGCCAATGAGGATGAAGGAGAGGCATGGCGACGACGGGTAAGTCCTCTGGGGCTTGTATTACTAGAGGGATGGGTCCTCCGGAGGCGGGCAGAGAGGGCGGGCCCAGGCGAGGCGGAAGTGATGACGCCTGCGCGCTGGGGCCTGCAAGAGAGGGAGCCCCGGCGTCGTGAGGTAGGACCACTACTCCCAGCAGGCTCCGCGCCTCCCGCGCCTGCGCCTCTTGCTACCGCCCTCCCTTTGTGTTGTCTCCTGCATCTCAGTTTGGAAAGGCTTGGAGACAAAGGGCACCGGGAGGAGAGCTGCTACCTGGGGCCGGACCCCGCGGAGGGCGGGCTGGCAGGAGCGACAGCTCCCCTGACCCTCAGCCCCTCGCCGTCCTGAGCCCTCCATGCCTTCCCTGTCCGGCCGCCCTTCAGCGCCCGGGCCCACTCGCGCCTTCCCCTCCCCCACAGCTCCCAGATTTAGGGTTTCCGAGGAGCCGGAGCGGAGCCGTTGCCTAGACTACGGGCTGAGCCGCCCCTTCCGGCCTAGGCCCCGCCCTGGGCGTGGCCATGCGGGGGAGGGGGGCCGCTGCCGCCTTTTGTCCTGTGCGGGCCGCGGTCCAGCTTGGACGGCTGTCGCTGTCCGAGAGCCGCCTCGGGAGCGGCGCCCGGGCAGCGCCTTCAGCCAAGTGTGGCGGCGGGCTTTCTCGGGAGCCAGCCGCTGACACTGCCCCGCTGGCCGTGCCGGAGCGTCGCCGCAACCAGGCGGCCCGCTCTTCCGCCTGGGACCTCCAGGATTCCCCAGCTGCGGAACGAGACGCGGGGACTTCGCCGTTTAAGCGGCACTGCGACCTCCGAAGCCACCAGCAGTTCCACAAGTCCTGAGCGATCCCGTGAATCTGTAGTTTATAGAATCGTGCATTCGCCACCAGGGCGCGCACTGCAGAGACCCGCGCGGGTGTTTTGTGAAGGGGGTGTCGGCGCCGCCCCACGCGCTCCCGCGGCCGTGTTTGGAGCCAGAGCGCTCAGGTTGGAGCGTGGCTGCGGCGCTAAAGGACAAACTCATTTTGCTTCGAAGTCCTGGATTACCATCTTCGCTCTGGAAACCGCTCACCCTCTGCTGCCCGGAGAATTGGTTATTTTACCAGTTCACACTTCTTCCAGTCTGGGCCCAAGAGAGAGCAAATGAAAATTAGTCAACTTTCACTTTTACAAGAAAATATTGGCCACCAGTCTGCACAAAAACACTATGACATATGGAAACAAAAACGAAGTCTGTAGAGAGCTACAAGGTTGAATTTTTAAAAATCATGCCTTTTTTCGCAAAGAGCATATAAGTACTTTAAAACTACACCAAGAAAGACTTTTAATTCTGACATTCACTGGGGGAATGAACAGCGTTTATCTGGGGTCACAAACAAGTGTTGGAGCCGGCCATGGTGGTGCTCTCCTGTAATCCCACCACTCGGGAGACTGAGGCAGGAGGATTGCCGTGAGTTCGAGGCCAACCTGGGCTGCATAGTGAGTTCAAGGCCAGGCTTAACTACATAGGGGCCCTGTGTCACAAAATTAAAAATAAAAAAGAATAAATGTTAGAAATAATTTACCCCTTCCAATAAATAATCAAGCTGGAGTTTGACCTATGTTAATTTCAAAAAGTCAGGATGCTACCTGAATGATTATTTTGCCCTTCTCTTGTTCACGGACTTCACAGACACATAAACCAGAGAGGTGTCTTGCTATTCAGGTAGAAGTGCTGGACTGTGCCAGCTCCACAGCGAGTGCCACTGTCTTATATGCCAGGAGCTCAGTGGTGAACGAACGGTTGCCTCCATAGAACATGGCACCCTTGGGCTAAAAAGTCAAAAGTATTTTATTTTTTATTGGCTTTACAAAGTGGTTTCCTGCATAAACTTAGAACACTAATAAATGAAATATAACACTTATTATGTCTTTTAAATATGCCACTAAGGACAAATATTTAATTTTGAAAATAAATTGGAAATCTTGACTTTCAGGCTTGCTCTTTGTAGTGTACACCAAAAATAGATATTAAAACTTTTAGGCCGGGGATTTAGCTCAGTGGTTCTACCACCTGCCATGCAAGCGCAAGGACCCAAGTTTGATCCCCAGTACAGGAAAAAAAAAACAACTTTTAGCTAAAGGAACACTTGGGAGTAGGGATGCAGCTTGGTGGTGGAACATGTTCCTGGCATGCAGCAGTCCCTGGGTTCAATCCCCAGCAGCAAGCAATCAATCTAAAAGTGTTTCTGGTTTAACTAGAGATGCTCAAACCTGTTGGAATAAAACACAAGGGATGAACACACAACTCTTTGTTTTGAATGCTTACAAAATAAATACTAGCTTCATCTGAAACTTGAAATGCTGTAAACATTATGTTGCTGTAATCTATTTTACTTTGGATTTACAAGATTTTGCCTCAGAAGAAAATGTCACCCTGAAAACTACAGTTTGTTGTCATAAAAGACTGAAAATGGCATTTATGATATCTTGGAATCATTATTTCTCTGCATACTATTTTTTTTTTTGGTACTGGGGATCGAACTCCGGACCTTGCGGTTACGAGCTAAATCCCCGGCCCACTGGAATCATTATTTCTAATTCTCTTCTTGTGGCCTACATTAGGGAGAAAGGTGACTTTTTTTAACGGTAGCATAGTTTCACATTTATTAAAGTTAAGGAAAAAAACAAGGTAGGGGGAAAAGGCTCTGCAGCACGAGCTTGGGCCAAATAAAAGTAGGAGGAAAGGAAGAAAAATTAAAAGTGCAGCCTACAGCATGGGTGGACTACCATAGAGAAATGGTAGGATTCTCAGTTTAGGTCTGTATGCTCCTAACTCTTCCCAGCCACTTTGACTTTACCAGACTCTGCCAAGAGGATCGTATTTTAATCATTAAAGCATTAAGAACATAGCATTGCTGCCAGTTCAGGACTGAACACAAGGCTGATTTTGTGAGGACAGAAGATGCCCCTGTTAATTTAAAAGTAATGCTTTCCTGCAGTCCATCCGGTCGTCTGGCTGTCCAGATTCAGGTGCGGGGTTTGGTTTTTTGTGGCACTGAATCTTGCTGCCTCCTCAAGTTCTGCACGTGCTCTCAGATTGTGGCCGAGCTTTCTCCATCAGGCGTTTTACTGCCCAGATTTGGACCCTGATGGTCCAAGGTGGACTCCAGGAGCGGGGAATTCAGCAACATTCAGCAAATTCCCTTCTGAACTTAGTGCAGGGTGCTGTGAACTGTTCAGAAAGATTTACAACCTAGGGTATGGAGGGAGAGAAGCATCCACATTGCACTGGAAATGAGACAGCTGGCAAATCAGCCCGGCCCTGCGCCGGCCCTGGGCAGTGGTTAGCCCCGCTGACAGGCGCGGTCTCCTCCCTGGACAGCGGGGTCCAGCCGGTTCGCCTTGTGCGTTAGGACGCAGCTGGCATCACACTGCAGTCCAGCTTGAAACTGAGCTGGACTCGGTCTCTTTTTTTTGGACTCAGTCTTGAGGGATGATTTTAAACACTCGAGCAGCACACTTGTTTGTCTCAGTTCCTTGGCTGCCAGGAGAGCGTCAGACCATTAGGGAAAAAGATCGGGGAACTGCTGTTTAGAAGACTGCAAAAGCGAAGTTGTGTTTTCTGTTCTGCAAGATGCCAACAGGGGCGCTTTTGTTGAGATCGTTTGAAAGCGAGTCTCAGAACGGTTTTCTTCTCCAGAGACAGATGGTAGAGTTTTTAATCTTTTTGTTTTGTTTTTGGTGTCGGAGATTGAACTCGGGACTTTGCACTTGCAAGGCAGGCGGCCGAACCACTGAGCTAAATCCCAGCCCCTGGAGTTTTTAAATCTTAAAATGAGTCCCATGCAGACATTTCCTACTACCCGGCTCCAGGAATGAGTGGTTTCATCAGGAGACAGTGCTGGGGTGCACGATGGAGTTGTGTTAAATGCACGTTTGTGGGGGTGCACTGTGTGAGGTACACATCCTGTGTGTTGGGGTGCAGACACGGCGTACGGTGGGGCTCCGAGAGCAGGCCGAGGCCCAGCAGCGGGTGAACGGCACCCCGCGCTGCAGCCGCCCGACCCCGGGCGCAAGGGCGCGCGGGCCCGGGCTCGCATGGTCCCCAAGCACCGAGGACGCCGCCGTCGCGGCCCCGCCTCTCCCTGCAGCCTAGGGCCCCGAGCTCTTCCGGTGCGTCGGGGCCGGGCGGGGCCTCCCGCTCTTGGGCGGCATGCTGCGGACGCGCCGGGGGCCCGCGCTGCTCCGGGCCGCGCTGGGCCTGGGTCGGCGCCCCGGGGGGCGTGCGGCGTGCGCGGGGCGCGGGCACGGCTGGCATCGGCCTGCGGGCTGCGACACGGGCGTGCGCGTGCACAACAGCCTCACGCGCCGCGAGGAGCCGCTGGTGGTGCCCCGCGCCGACGCCGTGTCCTGGTGCGCGGGCGCGGGGCGCGGGGCGCGGGGCGCGGGGCGCGGGGTGGCCGGTGCCGCGCCGGCCCTCAAGCGCGGGTCCCCTTGTCCCCAGGTACAGCTGCGGCCCCACCGTGTACGACCACGCACATCTCGGCCACGCCTGGTGAGTCTGGGTCCGCGGGACCTCGGGTGCCGCCTGAGCCTGTGCCCGTCCTCCAGGGAGGAAACTGAGGCAGACCTGGCGCAGGGCCGAGCAGCCGGGCGTCCTTGCTCGTTGCAGTGGCTCCCTTGGGAGCTTCCGGTCCCGACAAGTCGCTTTCTGGCCAAGGCCTGGTCTCTTCCGCGGTGAGGTGGGGATTGTAGGGCCGGGGTTTTGCCGGGCATGGTGGCGGACGCCTGTGAGGGTGAGGCCGGAGGAGCTGCTAGTTCAAGGTCAGGCGAGCGAGGTCCCTCCCTTCTAGGCAGGACCCTGCACACAGGCTGTGTCTTCCTTGGCTGCACTTCTGAGCTGGTTCCCAGGTCTCAAGAGTTTCCTGAGTTTCGAGGCTGGTGGGAGATTCATTTAGCCCTGTGTACAGCCAGGCGTAGCGGCGCACACTTGTAACCCTGGCACTCTGGGAGGCTGAGGCAGGAGAATCGAAAGTTCGAGCCCAGTCTGGGTAACTTGGCGAGATCCTGACTCAAAATTTTAAAAATAGAAATAAAAAAGGGCTGGGGATTACAGCTCAGTGCAAAGGCTGTGGGTTCAATCTCCAGTATTAGAAAAAAAAAATTACACACGTGAAAAGGACAGAGAAGGAAATTCTAAAAGCAGAGATGGTGGCATCTCATTCCGTATTTTCTTTTTTTGCCTTTTTTTTTTTTTGGTACCGGGGATTGAACTCAGGTCCTTGTGGCTGCACAGGAGGTGGCGAAACCACTGAGCTAAATCCCCGGCCCTTTTTTTGCCTTTTTGAGACAGGATCTCACCATGTAGTTCAGGCTGGCCTCGAATTCACTGTGTAGCCAACTGGCCTCTGACTCATGGTTATCCTCCTGCCTCAGCCTTCCAAAGTACGGGGATCACAGGTGTGCGCCACCACACCCAACTTTTTAAATTTTTCTTTTTTAGTATTCTAGAATGCTGTAGCAGTCTCAGGAGTAATGTGGTATTGTACTGATTTAGGGTTTATTTGCTCCTATTCATTTTGTCATAGATGTGAGAATTACTCTAGAACATGGACCAGGATAGCCACTTAGTGAGATCTTGTTACCCCTGAACTTTTACACATTTAAGTAGAGGTTAAGTCACTCGGTAGCTCTAAAAGTAAAACACTAATGTTGTGCCCTGAACCTGATGTCACCTGTGGGCCACACGATGTGGCTGGTCAGCCTGAGCCGCGTAGCTGCTGTTAGGTCGCAGTGCACTCTCCGGGTCCATGAGGCCACTGGTGTGCTGGAGACACGGCCGCTCTTCTTCCAGCTCCTACGTGAGGTTTGACATCATCCGAAGGGTGCTGACCCAGGTGTTTGGCTGCGGCATTGTCATGGTGATGGGCATCACCGACGTGGACGACAAGATCCTCAGACGAGCCCGCGAGGTGAGCACGGGGTCCTCAGGAAGCTTTCGGCTTGGGAGGAAGTCACCCTTGGTCAGTGCTGACTGTTGGCCTGGGTCCCATTCGCCTTCACTGCATTGCCTCTTGCTTCCATCCCCTTTTTTTTCTGTTTTGGTTTTTTTGAGACTGAATCTCGCTATGTAGCCTTGAACTCATGGTGGTCCTCCTGCCCCTGCTTCCCGAGTGCTGGATTACAAGCTTGCGCCACTACACCCAGCCTTATTTTTTCTTAAAGGAATTCAATGAATCAGATGTATAATCCAGCTATAGATATAATCCTTTTTTTATGTAAAACAAAATTGTTTTTCAGCTGGGAATGGTGGTGCACACACCTATAATCCCAGTACTCGGGAGGCTGAGGCAGGAGGATCGCTGTGAGTTTGAGGCCAGCCTGGGCTACACAGCGAGATCCTGTCTGAAAAAAAATTTTTTTTTCTAATTTTTATTTCATGGAAATCAGTATGCTACATCAGGCATGCAACAAAAATGTACCACTCTACCCATGAAAGTCCCTCACAAGTTGCTTCTTTTTCCTTTTTCCTCTCTGTCGTTGTGAAACTGGAATTGAACCTAAGGCTTCATGCTGGTCTGCAGCTCTGGTCCTTTTTAAACATCAATCCCATGTTTCTTTTTGTTTTGGTTTTATTTTTTATTTTATTTTATTTTTGAATTTTAAAAATTATCCATACAATTTTTATACGTACAAGTGGATGAGAATTATGCATACGGATGTGTGTATGCATAGTGTTTACACAGAGACATGTATGAGCAGGAAAAACAACACATTTAGGATAATGGTTACCTCTTAGAAGGCGAATTAGTTATCATGATGTATTAAAAATTGACAAACTAGGGCCGGGGATTTAGTTCAGTGGTTCCACCGCCTGCCTCCCAAGCTCAAGGTCCCAAGTTCAATCCCTGGTATCAAAAAAAAAAAAAATGACAAACTGTCCCTACCCATATACATACATATGTAGTCTATACAGATAAATATAAGAACGATAACACGTTTGAGATAGTTGTGTCCTGGGAGATGAATTAGTATCATGGTGTGTACCAAAGTTCACCCTTCCAAACCCGGCAGCCTAAGCCATGTATTTTAAGGAATGCAGACATGGCTTAGCTGTCTCCTGCTGCAGGGCTTCTCACGAGGCCACAGGGATGCAGTCTCCTCGAAGGCTGTCAGTGGATCTGCCCCCAGTACATGCACAGGGCTGCTGGCAGGACTCAGTCTCTGGGCACTGACTGAGGCCCAGGTCCCCACAGAGCCCTCAGCGTGTGGCGGTGGGCTGCAGAGGGCACAAATGAAAGGAGTAGCAAAGTGGAAGCCACATCTTCTGTAACCTTCTCTTGTCAAAGACCAAGACTCCACGATGCCTCTTACTTCCCGTTTGCTCTTTAAGCCCAGAACACAGGACATGAAAATTTGCAAGGGTTACAGATCCACGCTTTTTCTCTTCACAGTTACTTTAATTCCCCCAAATAATCCTTTCTTTGAACTCCTCAGAAGACTTATTTTAATGGGTCAGAAGACTCAACATTATTCAGGTAATAATTCCTCCCAAATTGATTCGTAGGTTCCTGGCACTAAGGAGGCTGAGACAGGAAGATTACTGTGAGTTCGAGGCCAGCCTGGGCTGCATAGTGAGTTCAGGGTCAGCCTGAACTACAAACCAAGACTCTGTCTCAAAAAACCCAAAGTTATGTAATGGAAATCATGATATTTAGTTTTCCTTTTTCTGTCACCAACCAACAAGGTGGTCAGCCTCCAGTCACGATAAGCCACTGGTGCAGGTTTCTGTTGTTTGAGAGTCTCTCCGCGCAGGGCCAGCTGGCTTTGAACTCACTGCAGTCTAGGCTGGCCACCAGCTTGGGTCCTCCTGCTTCAGCCTCCCGAGTGCTGGTGCAGGTCTAAAACCCAAAGCTAGCGGTTCTTTCTGGAGTGGGCGGAGCCCAGCTGTGGCGCTCTCCTGTTTGCAGAGCCTGTGAGGGCCCTGCAGGCTGCCGACCCTGTCTGTCCCTCCTGCAGATGGACATGTCGCCTGCTGCCCTGGCCAGGTTGTATGAGGAGGATTTCAAGCAGGACATGGTGGCCCTGAAGGTAGGCGTGGTGGGCATTGGCCTGGCTGGCCTCGCTCACACGTGTCTGGGTGGCAGCGGATGGGCTGGAGCTGCAGCTGGGCCTGGAGGAGGCCATGTCCTGGTTTTGAGCTGATACCAACGTGGCAGGATATGCCCGGGGCCGGGGTCAGCTCATGTGGCTCTGTCTGTCGTGGCCAAGGAGCAATGCAGGAGCTTCCGCCAGGGCTGCACTGGGCAGCTGTGGCCGGTTGGGCTGTGGTCTTCCCAAGGCAGAGCCACACCCCAGCTCTGTCTCCGCCCTCCCAGGTGCTGCCGCCCACCGTGTCCCTGCGAGTGACCGAAATGGTGCCCCAGATCATCTCCTTCATTGAAGGAATCATTGCGCGTGGGCACGCGTATGCCACCGCAAAAGGTACAAACCGTGTGGGTGGCGCTGCTCGGTGCTCCGCTAGGGCCGTGCTCCAGGTCCCTGCCGCACTGTGCCCCCTGCAGAGCAGCCCCTTCCGGCTGTGGGTGAGGTGGCCGGAGACAGCGGCTGCCCGTGGTCCTCTTGTTCAGGAACTTGCAGAACCAAATTCTGGGGAATTAGGCTCCTGTGCACTGGGGCCTCGCCTGGTCCATGCACTGCAGGGTGCACCTGGCTGTGTGCCCCCAGAGTCGGCTCCCCCCAAGCCAACGTCAGGCCTGTGACATCCCCTGCCTGCGGCGCCCCTGCCCCCGTGGCACCGCCTCCCACGATGGAGCCACACCCTCGCCGTGTGGACTTCCTCACGAGACTCCAGACTGCCTGCCAGAGCCCCTGGTCCAGGCTGGCACCGTCCTCTGCAGGGCCCTTGGTCCCCAGCTTCTCCCTGTCTGCGGCCAGCACCCCTCGGCCACCCCTTTCTGTGCAGCCTTCCTATGCCCCCACCTCCAGGAGTCCATCTCTCTGAGGGGTTTGTTCGCCGTCCACAGCTGTGTGTCCTGCCTCAGCCTCAGTGTCTGTGTGTGCTGTGCAGCGGCCGGTTCTGGGTCACTGTGCTGTGTTGTTTAGGGGAGTCAGGTTTGCCCTGTCCAGATTGTACATTTTCAGACCATAAAACCTTTGGCCTTTGAGCTGGGCATGGTGGTGCACACCTGCAATCCCAGCACTTGGGAGGCTGAGGCAGGAGGATTGCTTTCAGGCTAGCCTTGGCTACATAGGGAGCTCAAGGCCAGCCTGAACTACATAGAAGTCTCAAAAACCAAACCTCAAAACCCCAAAACAAATGAAAACAAAACCTTCTGCCCTTCACATCCCACGGGGCACCCAGCCCAAGGAAGGGGACACAGGCATGCTGGGCTATGACCTGTCCTCAGAGCCCTGTGCTGTGGGAGCGTGGCAGTTCTTACCTGATCTCGTTGGGTGCGCGTGGAGCTCATCTCCCAGAAAGCTTTGTTTTTCTAGTCCTGGGGGATGAACCCAGGGCTTGGCACTGAGCTGGGTCCCTGCCCTTTTATTTGTTATTTTTTTGGTACCGGGGATTGAACTTGGGTCCTTGTGCTTGCGCAGCAGGCGGCGAAACCACTGAGCTAAATCCCCAGCCCCCGCCCTTTTATTTTTTGAGACAAGGTCTCGCTGCATTGCTAGGCTGCCCAGGCTGGAACTTGTGGCGCTCCTGCCTCAGCAGCCCGGCTCAGAAACCTTTTGCAAGGGCTGAGGTGACGAGGGGACCTTGCTCCTTAGAGCTCGGGAGCCCCGGTCCTGTGCTTCCCTTTCAGAGGTACAGGCGGAGCTGGATGTGGCCAGGTCCCAGCCCAGCCCCTGGAGGGTAAATGCCAGGGACCCCTTCACTCCCGTTTCATTGTAAACTTTTAGTGGTGGTGTAGACACAATCAGTCCAGTTAATCCAAGGCACTCTGACCCTTACTCATGGAGAGCCTCCTGCCTCGACCTCCCCAGTCAGTGCTGGCCTATAGGGGTGCACCACCTCGCCCAGCTTCTGGGTTTGAATTCCAGTCAGTTGCTGGAGATTCGGCTTGCCTGGAAATGGGTCCTGCTCTGAGCCGTGGGGCTTCTCCGCCATCTCTGAAACAGGTAACGTCTACTTCGATGTGAGGGCCAGAGGAGACAAATATGGCAAACTGGTCAGCGTGGTGCCTGCTCCGGCCGCAGAGGCAGGTGGGTGGTGAGGCTGTGGTGTGTCCTTCCGGGGCAGCCTCCGAGTTCCTGTGCCTCCTGGGAGTCGTGGGTCTGCGGCCCCTTGTGGCGCCACGGCCCGGACTTGGCTCGTGTAGGGAGGAACAAGGCACATAGATGAGAAGCCCCAAAGTCCTCGGGAGGAAGAGCGGGCTGTCTGGGGCACTGTGCTCGTGTCCCCGTGGGGTGGCCGGGGCTGACTGTCCCTGCTGATGGCCTCTTGTCATTGCAGTGGACTCAGACAAGCGGCATGCGGGTGACTTTGCACTGTGGAAGGCGGCCAAGCCTGGGGAGGTGTCCTGGGCCTCCCCCTGGGGACCCGGCAGGCCCGGCTGGCACATCGAGTGCTCCACCATCGCCAGGTGAGGCGGACACGGCAAGGTGGCCTGGCCTCAGGGATGTCCGGTGTGGGACAGGCAGAGGCAGCCGCAGGCGGCACAGCCTTGCCCAGGGCTGCTGCATACACCAAGGACCCTCGCTCGGAGCAGGGTCGGAAAATACAGTGACATTCAGATCGAAACGTTTATTACAGTAAGACATGTGGCCATGAAGCGCCTTCAGAATCCTCCCTGTTCAGCGCACTGATCCCATGGCTCTTGCCATTCCTGCAGTGGCTCTGCAGTCCTCCTTCCTGCATGTCTTCAGTGGCTGTGTCCTGGCTGCCTCAGTGTCCTGAATCGATTCAGAACATGCAGGGGACCACAATACTGATCATGCCCAAGGCAGGCTGGGAAGCGTTACCCCCACAGCTGGCTTATTTATAGAAGTGAGTCCGGCCTAAGCCTACGTGCCAAGGTCAGAGTAACTCGCACCCAAATTCCGTTCCCACAACGAAAACCTTCAGACTAGAAGCACAGTGTTCTCATTATAGCCATGTATTTTGTCTGTTCTGCTCCTAATTGGAGAGTGCTTTGTCTTGTCCTTTACAAGCCTTGCTTGCCTTGGTTTCCATAGAAACTGCTTGAATGCGTACCCTCACGTGTACCCTCTGTAGCACAGAGCTCACCTCCACCCCAGTTGATGACCAGTACAGTCAGTGGCTTGGACTGGCCGGTGCCTTTGCTAACTAAGCAGCATTGGCTGCCCTGGCTCCCCAGTTTCTCTTTCAGTGTTTTTTCATTTTTTCTCAGCCTTGCACTGTAGTGCTGAGCAGGAGATCAAAACCTACTGCAGACACCACCTGCTTCGCAAGCGCAAGGTCCCAAGTTCGATCCCTGGTAGCAAAAAGAAAACCCTACTCCAGAGATCTCTGATAAAACGTGTCCCTTTCCTGGTCATTTTGACCTTGGGAAGAGCCAGGAGTCACACAGTGCCAGACCCAGTGACCAAGGTGGACGAGGACACGGCGCTGTTTTACGAGCTGCCTTTCCCTTGGGTGGTGCTCGGCGGCAGCCACCATTTTTTGTCACACCTCATGGAGACACGCAGGCAAGAGGCCTCCAGAGCTGCTGCAGCAATGGCAAGAGCAGTGAGAAGAGTGTGCTCAAGGGAGGGTTTGGAGGGGATTCCTTATGGCAGAGCATCTTTACTGGGGCCAGTCTTTACTTCCGATGTTTGCCATATGCCTGAGTGCTCCCACCGCGGCCTGGGCTGCAGGTGCTTGCATGTGGGATGCAGTGTGGGTGCTGGCCGTGGGGCGAGGTTTTCACCCAGCCCGCCGGGCCCCCCACTCAGACCCCACATGCCATGGCCTGTGGCCCCGAGTGCTGTCGCAAAGAGCTCTGTTGCCAGCTCCAGGGCATTGCCATGGCATCTGGGCCCTGCTGAGCCTCATGCCCTGGCCTTGCAGCGCCGTGTTTGGGAGCCACCTGGACGTGCACTCGGGCGGCATCGACCTCGCCTTCCCGCACCACGAGAACGAGATCGCACAGTGCGAGGTCTTCCACCAGTGTGGGCAGTGGGGCAACTACTTCCTGCACTCCGGTGAGCACCGCAGGGCCCGGACGTTGGAGCAGGATGGGCACAGCTGGGACCGGGGGCTGTGGGATGGGAAAGGTGAGCGGACCAGACCTGGGAAGTGCGTCCAGCCCGTGCTGTGTGAGTGTATTGCAGACAGGACTTGGGAGTCCCGAGTGTGGCAGGTAATGAGGAAGATCCCCGAGCTGCAGCCCCGTCCCCAGACACAGTCACCCCAGGCATGCGCAGAGCTGGCGACCAGAGCCAGTCCTCAGGAGCAGGTGCAGCACATGCAGTGAGCCCTGTCATCCCAGCACTCGGGAAGCTGAGGCAGGAGGATCCCTGTGAGTTTGAGGCCAGCCTGGGCCACATTGTGAGTTCAAGAACAGACTGGAAACCAAAAGAGAAAGGAAGAAGGAAGGAAGGAAGCCAGCCCTGTTAGGAGCACAGTGGGATGCAACTCACTTTGAGGCGCAGGAGTTTCAGATGAGCCTTCCCTGAGCCTGGTGGCACCGGGCCCGCTCTGCCCACCAGCGATGTCTCTTGCTTGGGGCTCTTTGGAGAAGTGCGGCTGTCCCGTCCGTGTCCACTGTGCTCTGGGAGGAGGGCGATCCTTCTCCCCACCTGGCCCGAGGCTGTTGGAACCAGTGCGTCTCAGTGCTGTTGGAAGTCAGGTCGCCGTGTCCCTTGGGGCTGGTCAGGACAGTCCCTGGCTGGGTCCCTCGGCGGCCCTCTCCTGAAGGGACACGTGCCAGCTGGCTTGCTGTTAGGGACTTGTCTGGTGCGTGATGTCGCTGGCATCTGAGTTGGGAGGAGATGCCAGGCCAGGAGCGGCCGGCAGGGTTGCCTGCATTCGGTTGCCATTGCTCTGTTTTAGTGACCGTGCCACCTGCCAGGAGTGGAGGCAGCTTCCCTGGGCCCCATGGGAGTAGTGGGGACAGGGCAGTGCCCCAGGGAGGGGACGGCTTTGGAGCTCAAGAGCTCCGAGAGCCAGGCCTGGCCCATAGCCCCGCAGTGGCTGGCTCTGGAGGCCGGAGTCCTTGTCCAGGTGCTGCCACCCGCCCCGCCTCCGTGCTGTGCCTCTTCTGTCTGTACCGCAGGATGCTGTGGGGTCCCTGGGGCCTCTCACGGGGCCCTCTGTGCCGATGTGGCCCGGGTGTGTCCCCAAGGGTCCTTCCATTGGCGCCTTGGCACTCCCTGGGATGGGATCTTGGTGCACAGCTGTTGTCCCAGCACTCTGGGAGGCTGAGGCAGGAGGAGCACAAGATCAAACCTAGCCGGGGCAACACAGTGAGAGCCTGTCTCAAACAAACCACAAGGGCTGGGGACGCAACTCAGTGCGGAGGCCCTGGGTCCAGTGCACTGCTCCCTGCACACAAGAGGTGGGCCCAGGAGGCCAGGGCCGCGGCGCTGCTCGGAGAGGAAGGAGCCTCCTGGGGCCCCGACCCCCGGCTTCCTCCCTGAGGTCTCCGGTCACCAGCCCGCTGATGCCGCCCACCAGGGCTGCAGCTACAACACCTGCGCTGGTCCTGGAGCCCCAGGCCATGCGCGGCCTAGCTGTCTGCCCAGGGCCGCCTCCCTCCCGGTGAGTCCCGGAAGACACAGGCGTCCGAGCTCCCAGAGGCGTTTCCTTTCCAGACACTGCGATTTAAAACACTGAGTTGTGCATAGGGGTGTAGTGTTACAGAGAAGGACATGCTCAAGGTGACGCTCCTTTTCAGAAGCTCCATTTTAGCCAGTTTTCAGAAAAACCCGCTCCAGAGAGCCCTTATCGGAAGTCGTATTAGGTTCATTGGTTTTGTGAAACAGGGTCTCACTGTGTAGCCCTGGCTGGCCTGGAACTTGAGGCGATCCTCCTGCCTCAGCCTCCTGAGTGCTGGGATTAGTGGACCGGCTTGAAGTTGGGCCAGGGAAAGCAGAGGCATCTTCTGAGAGGAACAAGGTGAGGAGCCCAGGTGGGCTCAGTTCCACCTGCCCTTCACGCACGCAGGTGCCCCCACCCCCTTGTGGAGAGGTCAGGGAGAGCCTGTTCTGTCCCCGTGTGTGTGGACATCAGCATCCAGGGGCACAGGACAGGATGTGCCACGGTGCTGCTGCTGGCCCTGGTGGCCCTTCCTGACCCCAGGGTGGCGCGGGTGGCCCGGAAGCCTCAGAGCAGCCCAGGGAGGCTGTGTCGTCCCTGGCGGCGGACAGAGCCTTGGGTGCTCCTGTGGTATCAGCGGCTGCGTGCCCGCAGTGCAGGCCCTGCTGCCCGGTTGCTCAGGTGCGGGAGGCCTGGACGGTGGGCGCTGGGCAGTGTCCTCCTGCTCCGCCCACTCAGGCGCCTTGGCCTTGCAGGGCATCTGCACGTCAAGGGCCAGGAGGAGAAGATGTCCAAGTCCCTGAGGAACTACGTCACCATCAAGGTAACCCAGGCGGGCTCTGCCTGCAGAAGACCACCCGCCTTCCTGCCACCCTCCTCCCAGCGAGGTCCCCTCCCTGGCCCCAGAGCTGGGTCTCCTGTCAACCCCGGCTGTGGCTTTCTTGGTGGGCATTTCCCACTTCCCTCTCTCTCTCTTGTTTTTGAGACAGGGTCTGTCTGTGCAGCCCAGGCTGGCCTTGAGCTTGCAGCGATCCTTTGGCTCGGCCTCCTAAGTCCTAGGATGGCAGGCGTGCACCACCACACCCAGCATGTTCTTTGGAGCCCTCGGGATTGTGCCCAGGCCTTTGTGAAACTCGGAGGCAGGGTCTCGCTCAGTCACTAAGTCGCCAGGCTGGGCCCGCCTCAGTGTCCAAGTCTAAGCGCTGGGCTCACGGGGGTGGGCCCCGGTGCTGCTTCCTGCATCTTGTGGTGATGGCCTGGCAGACGCCTTGCTCTCAGCTTTCGGGTGCTCGCCCTCAGGCTCCTCTCCCCCTGGGTGCGGCAGGCACTGCCTGCCATGTCGCGCGGGTCACCTGGTCCCCAGGCCCCCGGCGCCTGGCCAGCAGGACCTGAGAGTGGGCCACGATGCTGAGCTCGGGAAGGGAGTGGTCGCTCCCCACACGGCTGCAGGCCGAGGGACCCTGAGCCCGGGCCCTGCTCCCCTCCAGGACTTCCTGTGCAGCTTCTCGCCTGACGTCTTCCGGCTCTTCTGCCTGCGCAGCAGCTACCGGTCAGGTGAGCGGCAGCCGCACCCCGGGCCGGGTGACCTGGTGTTCACGCCTTTGTGGCTTGAGCCGGGCATGGGGCTGCTCACCTGTCCCCCAGCACTCGGAAGGCTGAGGCAGGAGGACTGCGAGGAGTTCAGGGCCAGCCTGGGCCTCATCGCGAGGCCGTGTCTCTCTCTCACGCACACACACCCCTTGCTTGATGGCTCGGGACAGCAGGACGCAGCCCCAGTGAGCTTTGTCCTGGTAGTTGCTGCAGGAAACTCACGTCTTCCTTGGAGTCTGGGAGTTCGGGCCCGGTGCTGGGCGGGTCCTTGCATCCCTCCGGCCTCTGGTCAGCAGCCCTGCCTCCTCTGCAGCCGTCGACTACAGCGACAGCACTATGCTGGACGCCAGCCATGTGCTGCGTGGGCTGGCCTCGTTCCTGGAGGATGCACGGGCCTACATGCGGGGACAGCTGGCTGGCGGCCCGGTCAGCGAAGCTGAGCTGTGGGACAGGTGAGCGGGGGGAGCGGCCTTTCCCCAGCCCGGCGGTAGCGGCTTGGGAGTCACAGCCCCGAGGGCTGGCACCTGTGGGCAGCACTGAAGGTTGCACATGGCCCAGGCTTTATCAGGGCGTGCCAGGGGAGGTCCTGGCAGTCACTGTGGCAGTGCTGTCAGGGAGACGGGTGGGGATGTGGATAAGCTAGGCAGTAAGCAGCCTGGTGTGCACACCTGTGGTCCAGTCCAGCTCGGGTGGCTGAGGCAGGAGGACCAAGGCTTCGAGCCCAGCTGAGGACCTTACTCAGTGAGACCCAACAAAGAGTGAGATCTCAACAAAGAGTGGGCGGAGTTTGGGCTGTACCTCAGTGCAGAGGACCTGCGTTCATCCCCAGTACTGCAAAAACGGACAGCAGGATGGCGAGGAAGCGACCGAGGGCAGGGTGTGGGTCAGGCCTCGGGGCCTAAAGCCAGGCCTCGCCAGGCGCAGACAGGGTCCAGGGCGCCCCTGCAGTGGCCTGGGGTGTCCCGAGCTGGAGGGGGACACAAGCAAGGGCCCATCGGCCCAGGGACCAGCACGGGAGAGCGCAGAGCCGGGGGCTGGGTGCAGGATGTGCCAGGTCAGGTGGCCATGGAGAGGGGAGGCCGAGGCGTGGGACAGGAGGACAGCGGCCGTCGTGACCTCACCAGGAGCGGTGCTGGAGGGGCTGGGCCCTGGGACACCGGGCTCTCAGGGAGGCGGACTGTGAGGACCGCAAGCAGGGACCCTGCCTGAGATGCGTGGGCCGGGCGCTGCTGCTCGCAGGCCGTGGGCAGCAGGCAGCAGGCCGCAGGCACGGGGCCGGCTCGGCTCTCCCGGGACTCTGCCTGGTGCCTGCTCTGGCCTGGACTCAGTGCACATGATGCTGACCGCGACTGCCACTCGCGGCTGCTCAGCAGGAGGCAGGGCCACCGAGCCGCGCCGTCCCCGTGCCTGTGACAGCGGCCCCTGCGTGTCCCTCCCTGGCCAGGGTCCCGTGCAGGCTGTGCTCTGCCCGCACCGTCAGGTGATGCACATTTGCACCGAGTCAGATGGGAGGGCCATGCAAGGGCCCAGCCCTGTGCCCCGGCCTGCTGTCCTGACCCTGCAGGCCTCCCCACGCAGGGTGCAGGTGGCTGGGGTGACGCGCCCTGTCCTGCTAACGTCACTCCTCAGCACGGGATCTCAGCCAGTGGACTCACACACGTGCAGCCTCGGCACAGTTTCCTCTGCTCTAGTGTTTTTTGGTTTTTGATTTTTTTGCTTTGTCAAGACAGGGTCAGCTAACCATGGTGGCACGGGGGTGTAATCCCAGCACTCAGGAGGCTGAGGCAGGAAGATTGCTGAGAGTTCGAGGCCAGTGTGGGCTACTTAGAGATACCCTGTTTTTATTTTTGTTTATTTAGCTTTTTTGGTACCGGGGATCGAACCCAGGACTTGTGCCTGAAAGGCAGGCGTGGGCGCCACAGAGCTAAAGTTCCAGCCCCCTGGTTTTGTTGTTGTTGGTTCTTTCAGTATTCACAAGGCTCTATTTTTTTTAAGCAAAATAGTCCTTGGTACATTCTAGATACACATAATGATCACATTCATCACAGAGAATTTGTACCTGTACATGATCTATCTTGCTTTCTTTCCCGTTGCTCCCCCTTTGGCCCCTCTTCTCCTTACTTACAAAAGCTTTATTTCCACTTTTTCCTTTTCAAGCAAAACATTTATTGGTACGTTTTAAACATACATGATGCTAACGCTCATCATAGGGCATTTGCACCTGTAGCTGATAGATTCTGCCTCTTCTTCACCCCCCCAAGTCCCCTCCTCTCCCCACGTACAGAAGTTTTGTTTCCATTCTTTCCTCTATTTTCACTTTTTTCCTTGTCTCTTCCTTCCCCCCCCTTCCCCTTCCTGCTTGAACATTTTCTTCCCACTTCCCAGTATCTTTTATACCTTTAGATCCTGATTTCCGCTTCCGGTTTCTCACACCAAAGAAACCATGCGTCTGATTTATTTAGCTCAAGAGCATGGTCTCAGGCCTGGCAGATGCTCCTGGGAGGTCCCTGGAGGTGGGGACTCAGCAGACTCCACTGGGGCTGCTGTCCTCACTGCTGGATAGAAAAAGAAAAAGACAGCCCAGGCTGGCCTCAAACCTGTGACCTCCTCCCGAGGCTGGATTGCAGGCGTGTGGGACTCGCCCGCCTCACGTCCTTGCCAGGCCAGGGCCGTGTGGAGCCGATGCGCAGATGAGGTCACGCGACCTCAGAGCCCCCGTATTGAGTCCAAGTCACCCTTCTCCGTGTGCCTGGGGGCAGTGGTGGGAGGGCCCTGTTGGTGTTGCTCACTCTCCTCGGTTTTTCTCAGGCTCAGCAGCACCAAGGGCACCGTGAGGACTGCACTGGCTGACGACTTCAACACGCCTAGGGCACTGGACGCCGTCCTGGACCTCGTGCGCCTGGGGAACAGGCAGCTCAGGGCGGCCACAGAGGTAACTCCAGGCTTCCCACAGACCAGCCTGCCGACCCCACCGCTCTGGAGCAACGGTGGCATCCAAGTCCCCCCTGGCCCTCCCTTTGCGGGTACTCCTGGCTCCAGCGTGCACCTCATGGGGCCTTCAGGGTCCCAGCCTGGGCTGTCAGTGCCAGAGGACACACAACACTTGGATGGGTCCCCAGTTCCTGTGTGGACAGCACGTCACGTGTGTTTCTGTCAGCTTTCCCACAGCTGAGACATAACACAGGATATCTGGAGCTCTGAGGAGGGAGGTTTAATCGGCTCATGGTTTCAGGAGATTCAGTGCATGGGTATCTTCTCCAAGGCAGGAACATCATGGTGGAAGGGCCAGGGGGAGCAAAGCTGCCCAGTTCATGGTGGACAGGAAGCAGTGCAGGACAGTGCTGAGAGGAAGGGGAGGAACCACAGACCCAAGGCCACACGTCCATGACCGCCCAGACACACCCAGCGGTGTGCACCCCCTCCTGGCCGGCTCCCAGTCCACATGGCACCCCAAAGCTGAGCCATGGTGTGCTTGTCTGGTTGCCACATGTGTGCGGTGACCACCCAGGGGCTCTGCAGTGAGGGGACAGAGTCTGTGGGAACGGGAGGAAGCTGTGAGGGTCCCCACCTCCCACCCACCCTGCTGGGTCTCTGCTCTCCCTGGACGGCAGGCCACTGGCAGAGCCAGCTCTCCAGAGTGCCCTTGGCCCTGAGGGACTTCACTGTCCACCCTGCTCAGGACACTTCCTTAGAGATGCATCTAAGCAGAGCCCCGCAAGTCCAGTGCTGGTGTCTGCAGCCTGCGCCCTGTGTCACTGGGCTCCCAGGGGCAGCGCAGAGCCCCTGGTCACCAGGGAGGCGACCAGCAGCTCCTGTGCCCGTGCACGCTTTGGGGAGTCTCCCTGCCACACCCTGAGCAGCCAGGGCTGGCCCTTGCTCTTGGGGACCTGCATCTGGGTAGCTCTGACCGCACAGGACCTGAGAAGCTGAGGGCCCTGGTTGCCACGAGGCCTGTCCTCCTGCCTCTCAGGCCTAGGCCACCCAGGGATGCTGCAGACCCTCCCTGCCATGGCGCAGCATCACCTCGAGGGCTCTGTGGGCCTGGGGGGTCTGGGGTTCAGAGCACAGGTCTTGGACACGAGCTGCATCAGCCATGGCGGGGCTGGAAGAGGTGACTGATGAGTTCCCAGGGCTCAGCTACAGAGCTGGCAGGGTCCCAGTGGCAGACGCGGCACAGGGCCGGTCTCTGCGGCACAGGGGGACCGTGGGTGGGGCACATCTGGGTCACTGGGCGGTCGCCGAGCTAGAAGGACTGCAGGGCTGTGGCCTCAGGAGGCTGCCAGGCAGTTACAGCGGTGCAAGAAGTGCTGCCAGCCACGGGTGAGCAGCAGGGCCATGTGGGCCCAGGATGCCCCTCAACAGCTGCGCCGAGGCCTCCCTGGCCTGCAGCCTTGGCTCTCTGAGTCCACAGCTCCAGGCTCCTGGTGGGAAGGCTGGGTGCAGAGCGAACCTAGGGAGGTTGGGCGAGTGAGCCTGGCGTCTTGCTGGCTCCACCTCAGGGTTCCCTTTGTTCCCGAGAAGCCCGGCCTGTACTCTTGCCCTTTGCCCACTGTGCCCACACTGCCGTGGCTGTGCTTGCCCACTCTGCATGACAGGTGGGAAAACCGAGGCAGGGCTGCCCGGCACAGCTCCCTGTGTGGGCTGACACAGCAGGCTGTGTCCTCGGTTCACAGAAGCCGAGAGGCCCCCCGTAGGGCACTGCTGCCCCTGGGCCCTGATGTGCAGCACCCTGGTCTCTTGCAGGGCCCCGGAGGGCCCAGGAGCCCTGCTGTGCTGGGTGCCATTGTCGCATATGTGGAGCAGTTCTTTGAGACCGTTGGGATCTCTCTGGCCAGTCGGCAGGTATGTGTGCACATGCAAGGGACATGAGGGCCCCTTTAACTTCCTGCCGCAGTGGAAGAGGTGGTCGCTTCCCCAGACAGAAGCCCTTGGAGCTCGTGGTGCCAGTGCTCTGCCGGGCAGGCAGCCTGCGGGCAGCCAGCACCTCTTGAGTGGCTCTGCTGTCACAGCTTACTGTGAGGCCATCAGCGCCTGGCATGCAGTGACAACGTGCAGGTGGGGCGTGTGTTCCCAGGCCTGGCCAGCCCATGGCGTCCTGTCAGGGGCACCTGAGTCCCTGACATGGCTCCAGTTGCTGTCTCTGGCCACTGGGCCGGGGCTTCCTGCCTCACCCATCGCACGCGCATGCACACATGCACGCACGCACGCATGCGCTTAAACCCATCACTCCACTCACCTGGGTTGCCTGACCCAGGGCTCAGTGCTAGTCCCACAGGAACCCTTCCCGTTTGCTTCCTCTCCCGGTGCTGCAGCCCCACCCTGGGCTGTCCCCCTGCGTGGTGTCCCCTCCTCCTCTGCCGCCACCCCTGCCTGCCTCTGCTGTCCCTGACGTCCCCAGGCTGTCCAGGCCACCCTTGGGCTGCCCTGCACACAAGGCCTGGCCCAGGACGGGCAGTGCCCACCCAGGAGCTGCTAACGGGCAGTGAGGAGCCTCAGGCTCTGGTCCAGGCTGCCATCCGCGCCTCGGCCTGGCCCCTCGGGACCTTTACTGTACCCTCTGTCCTGGGGCTGCCCTGCGCCGCCCATCACCTGGTGGACAGGGTCAGGGTCCCTTCCGGGCAGTGTGGAAGCCGCTGGCAGAGCTCACAGGGACTGCCCAGCCTGAGGTGACTGCAGCCTGGTGCTGCCCTGGTCTGCAGTTGAGTAAGCGAAGAGGCCGGGCCGACCTCTGCAGAAACCTCGTTCACTCCCACCCCAGAGTTGGGGCCGGGCCACTGAGGCCGCTGAGGCAGCCCGCTTTCCTGGAGGCAGCAGCGAGTGGGCACTGTGTGAGGGTTGAGAAGTTTAACCTGGAGTTGCAGACGCTGTGGGCTGTCAGGCACAGCCACCCTTTCTGAGCTAGTCAGGAGGAGGCCAGACTTCTGCCAAGGCTGGGTCTTCGAGGGGTGCTGCTGTTTGCTCAGCAGCTGCATGCACTTAGCTTACACCTCTGTTCTGCTGCGCAGGGTGCCTTCCTCAGTCCCCAGGGCCACAGCTGAGCTCCCTGCACTGGGGAGCGGGTGGTGTACATCCCCGCCGCTCCCCCAGCCCGAGGGGCAGCATCAGCTCAGCTCCACAGCCGGGCCACCTCTCTGCTCCCCACCAGCTCCCTCGCCGGCCAGCTTTGAGGCCGAGGAGATGGGCTGGGCTGTCGCAGCACAGAACCTGCCCAGCATTGGCCCACGGGCCCCCTGCTCAGTGTCTTCCAGGAGACGGCAGCACTGCCACCCTGTGCAGTGTGGTAGATGAGCTCGTACGCTTCCGGCTGAAGGTGCGGCAGTTTGCACTGGACACACAGGCAGCTACTGGGGACGCCCGGCGACAACAGCTGCAGGAGAGGCGGCCCCTGCTGGAGGCATGTGACACACTGCGCCAGGATCTCGCTGCCCATGGTATCAGCATCAAGGTGAACACTGCATCTGGGCAGGGACACCAGGGCATCGCCCCAGGCTGTGCACGGGGCACACCAGCCCGACACCCCATGTCCCCGCCAGAGGAGGCCACCATGGCAGGTGTGGGGGATGTGGAGTGGACATCAGCCACCAGGGTCACCGAGCTCAGTGTACGCGGAGGCCTGGGTCTGCCCGGCCACCACCTCCCCCTGCCCAGCCACACCCTCTGCACCCAGAGCCAGGTGGAAGGTGACATGACCCTCCCTCCTCCAGGACAGAAGTGGCGCAGCCTCCACCTGGGACCTGCTGGACCCACGGACAGCACAGAAGCCAAGGGGCTGAGGCTGGCCGGCCACTGACGACTGAGCCGCAGCTCTGCTCTTCGCACAACTACTTTAAAGTTTCCGATCATGGCCCTTCATAAAGCGGACCAGTCCTGCCCTGGTGGTGTCTGTTCATCCTCTGCCCGACCCATGGCCGGGACGGGTGGCTGCTGCTCAGTGTAGTAGAAGCCTGCTGGCCGCTCAGTGGACCCAAGCCAGCCAGCACCCTGGGCAATGCGACCCCAGGCCCTGGGCCTGAGGACGGCACGGCACGGCACAGCACAGGAGGAGCCTGGGCCCCATTAGCCGGGGCACAGGGCACCACGGGGTCTGAAGCCCAGGGCAGAGCCACAGTGGGGTTTCCAGGGTCGGCCGGCGTGGGGCCCGAGTGGCACGCAGCCGTACCATGGCGGTGTGCCTGAGGCTGGCTGTGGTGGGCAGTGGGGTGGGCTGTAACGGCCACAGGTGGCACCGCGGAGGGCAGGCTCCATGGTGGTGGTGGCCTTGCGCCTGGCCCAGGATCTTCACACAGACCAGATCATGAGCAGAGATGCGCAAACCTCTCTGTCCCCACCTCGGATCCCGGGCCAGGCCCTTCCTACCGCCTGGTGTGGTTTATGCCCAGGTGGCCCCCCAGAGCCTCATGTGCTTAGAGGTGGGGTTCTGGAAGGTGAGGAGTCCTCGGCTCGACACTCCTGGCTGGTTAGTCACGTTCATAGCTACACGCTGTCAGGAGGTGGGGCCAATCGGAAGGGTGCCATAGGGCGAGGCCTGGGCAGGTCCGTGTGTCAGCACCTCTCTTCCTGGCCGAGACCTCTAGAGTGAGCCAAAATAAACCCTCCCTGATGTCGCAGGGATCATGGTGTGTCCCACAATGAGGAAGTGACCTGGCCGAGCTCTCCTGGCAGGCCTGCCTCAGAAGCCTGGGCTGGGGACACAGCAGCACATGGCTGGGCTCACTGCTGCCCACGGCCCTGGCCGCCACCTGAATGCTTCGCACTGCTGCCCCGGGCCCAGGAAGCCCTTACATGCAGTGATGAGCGAGCAGTTACTAAAGAACAGCGTTGTTAACTACATTAAAATAAACTCGGGCTGAGTCTTAAGTCAAGGGGTTCTGTAGTAACTCAGGAAACAAAAACACAAGACTAGTTCCTAGACTGCTGAACTTTATTCCCTTGGAAAGAAGTGGCTGTTCAGGGTTGCTCTTTAAATGACCTCAGTGGGAACACGGGCAGCATGGTGGCCACCACCAGTGGACAGACAGATGGATGGCCTCAGCTGCTTCTGTCTGCCCAGAGGCTGAGCGCAGCTGACTCGGTTGGGGAAGGTGGGTTCAGCAGACAGGCAGCCCAGTGTCAGTGGCCGACCGCCGTCTGCAGCCGGCCACGGCATGGTGTCCGCAGGACAGTTCGCAGCTCGGGACGATGCTCCACAGCTTCACAGGTAAAGCTGTCTCTTCAAACTCTCGAAGCTTAGTTTTCAAACAGCGCAAGGATTCGAGTGGCACCTGGTTCATGGCAGCCCCCGGACAATGGCCAAGGGCGAAAGGCCTCTGTCGGCCGCTCTCCACCTATGGGAACAGGGCCACCGGGGTTCTGGGTACCACAGGGCCTTGCGGTCACTGATGCCTGGTTTCTGCTCTCCTCAGCACACGCGCTGTGCTGCTGTCAGGGCCACTGACAGCCTGCATGCCGGCCCCCTGTGAGCTGCAGCTCCACCACCCTGGTGAGGCCTCTTCCCGGTGCAGCGCTGACCACTTCCCCGGGTGTGGGCTGCAGCCTCCCTGTTTCAGTGTGCAGAGGGGGACAGCGGGGCTTGGGCTCTGCACCCCCCGGCCTGCACCACTGCGCCCCTCACCCTCCCAGGGGCTAAAGTGAATCCATCTCGGTGAGTGACACACTTGGGGTCGTGTACGCTCCATGAATGAACCCACATGCACCAGCCCGGCACTGCTTAGAAGACAGTGAGCTTTGGAGCAGACACCTTGGCCTCCGGGGACCTCTGGGACAAATCCGCACTTGGACACGTGAAACGACTGGATCCCTGAGAGGCGCGGCTTGGAAGGGAGGTGAAAAGGAGGCCCCCTTGGGACAAGAAGCAGACAGAACACCTGCCTCCCCCCCGCGGGGTTCTCGTGTTCTCAGCTGCACATGTGCAGGAAGGCTCAACAGCATCGCGACGCCTCCAAGCTCAGACCGACCTACTGCACCCTGAACCCCTCAGCCCCACATCAGCTGGTTCACGAGGGCCACACCCTGGCACTCAGGGAAGATGCGGACCCCGTGCAGCCCCCTCACCCGGTCGGCTCAGGCCTCGAAGAGCTCGCGGAAGGCGGCCCCGATCTCGGCGATCATGTCGCTGGTGGTGGTGGAACGGCCGTGCTTCAGGAAGGCCTGGCGGTTGCACTGCCGCGTGAGTGAGCAGGCGCCCAGGGCGGCTAGCAGCAGCGGGCGGGAGCTGCAACAAGATGGAGGGGCACTGGTGCTGGAGAGGCAGGCACCCATGGCTCCCCGAAACTGGCCATTTGGTTTTCCTTGTTTTTGTTATTGTGAGTCGGGCAAGATTTCGCCAAGCAGCCTAGGCTGCCCTCAAACTCGCAGGGATCCTCCTGCCTCAGCCTCCCCAGTGGTGGGATTACAGGCGGGCAACCCCGGCCCTGGTCACCTCTGTACCCTGACCACACCTGGAAGGACTCAATGCCTGAGCTACCGAGCGTGCAGTCGCCATGGCCATACCCATTTGTCTTCTCCGGTTCCGCAAGGAAGGCCCAGTGCGCCATGACGCCCAGGGAGCCCGACAGGAGGTCCCCTTGTCCCCCACACCTGCGGCCGCTGCCTTTGTGGCTGCACTCAAGCACTGCGGAGCACACGGAGCAGTCAGGGCCTGAGTGTGGACGTCAGCACCACGCCCTTCGGGGTGCCTGCTGCCCGGGGTGTCCACCGGTGCCTCAGGGGCCAGGCACTGCCACGGAGCGCTCCCATGTGTGGGAGCCTCGTGTGGGAGGCCTCCTGGGACCACGATCTTGCCTCCAGGGTCCCGGGCCCTCAGCAGGTCCCCGCTGCTTCCTGCGCCCTATATGTGTGAGTGTGCGGTGCACACGCGCCCACCATGCCGTGTGCGCCTCTCCCTCATCTCCAGGCCCCAGCCAGTTCCTCGCACGATTGTCAGAGGCCACTGAGGTGCAGGGGGCCCCAGCGTGGCACCAGGAGCAGGGCCTGGGGGGACATCTCGGCCCCGCCCTCTGCTGTGGGCTGAGGGTTCCTCTGTCCCGGTCACTGTGAGATGGCGCAGCGGACAGCTCAGGTGACTGGGCGGCTGGGGATGCTGGGTGTGGTGCAGCACCATGGCCACACTTGCCTGTTGCAGGTGAGCCTGTGTGCGGGCCCTGGGCCCCGGAGCCCCCCAGCCGCCTGGCTCACCCTGCTGGCCATCAGAGATGAGGTCCTGCTCCCCCTTCAAGACCACAGTCACATTCCCCAGGGCCCGGCTGAGCTTCAGGATGGATCCGCGGGGGTCAGTGCTGTCCACAGGGCCGCTGAGCTACAATCAAGGACACAGGAAGTAGGCACAGAGCCCAAGTCTTCCTGGATGGCGGGTGCTCAGGGAACAGCCCTGTCCCCTCCTGATGTCCTGGGGCATCACCGGGCACCTGTTCGAGACCATGTGGTGGGAGGAGGCCTGTGTGCCATCTGTGAGCAGCACACATGCCAGAGCCTTCCTCCGGCTGAGCCCTGGTGTGCAGAAATGACACATCTGGAGACGATGACAGCACGTGGGGACCTGTCCTGTGCAGGACACGTGGCTCTACAGCTCCCCACGCCACCCTTACCCGAGAAGCAGATGCTGTCACCGTCCCCGTGCCGGGCGGGGGGGACACCACCACGCATCATTCACCCGGTCCACAGCTGCCAACGCGCAAGGGACAACGCGCGAGGACCACGAGGAACGCAACCTCCTATCCCACGCTGTGCTCGCACACTCACCACGGCCTCGTGCAGCCTGCTGAACTCCATGTGGTTGGGGGTTAGGATGGCCTTCTGGTACCCAAGGATGAGCGCTGGCCGCTGAGCCACCAGCCACAGCCCATCCTGCGCACAGCGAGGGTGCTGTCACTGGCCGGCCGGGCCAGGCAGGCCCTGTGCTGGCCGCATGCGTGCAGGAAGCCACACTCACTGCGTCGATGACCACGGGGATGTCCCTGACCCTCGCAGCTTCCAGAATCCCCTGCCAGGGAAGAAAGCACGTGGGCCGTGAGCCAAACGGCCTTGAGAGGCAACGCGGGGTCCTCACAGGAAATGAACCAAACCCACAGAGGAAGAAAGCGAAAGCCGCAGGGCCTAGAAACCGCAGCCAGGCCCCAGGCCGCCCACCAAGGCCACCCGGCACCTTCGAGTCTCAGCACACATGACCTGTGGGACCTGGAGAGAAGTCTCCACTTCCGTCATTGTTTTGTGTTTTCATTAAACTTGTTTCTGTGTTTTAATACAGTGACAAGAGTGACAGTGAGCCACTTTGCCCTTGATAAGAATTAATCTTACACTTTGAAGTTCAAAGGCTTCCTATTAAAAAAAGACACAAACATATGCAACCAACACAGAGTTATTATAACCAGTACATTATGACAAATTTATATTCAGCAATCTGCGTGTAAAATTATCTGTGCTTGAAAATTCAGTAACAGAAAATACAAGAGGCTTAAGAATTCTACGTCAGGGCTGGGGATTTAGCTCAGTGGTTTTGCTGCCTGCTGTGCAAGTGTAAGGACCTGAGTTTGATCCCCAGTACCAAAAAAAAAATTCTACGTCAATGCAGCACTTAGATGTGCTCAGTGAGCACAAACCACAGAAAGACAAATCCACGCCGCACCAGGCTCCCCGCAGCCCAGGCCTTGCTCCGTCCAGGAGGCAGGGAGGGAGGGAGGCTCCAGCTGCAGACTGCGCCTGCGACCTGCTGGCCTCTGCTTAAGTGTGAGTGTCACAGTGTGCAAAGCCCATGGGCGGTGGGGCACATCTCCTTTCTTAACAAAGAAAACCGTCTGTCTCTGCCCTCGGCATTCCTGGTAAAAGAGGCTTTTGCTAATTGTCACTTTGGACCGCTTCTGGTTTCACGGCATCGGATCTGATGATTTGCCACTGCCATCTCTTCAAGTGTTGACAAAGGAAACAGCCTAGAGCAAGTAGCTGAATGCCGGACACTTGGCACAGCACGGAGTAGCACTCAGGTCTCCAGAGAGATGGACAGCAGCACCCATGTGCGTGTGCAGGTGTGTATGTGTGTGTGTGTGTATGGCATCAGTGGGAGAGGAGAGCAGACTGCTCCCAGCTGATTCTGCAATGGCCCTCCTAGGAGTGCATCCAAAGACTGCCTGGGTGGAGCCCATACATACCCGCCTACACACACATACATACACATACATACACACACAAATGTTCAAAACAACACCAAAGCAGAGCAGCTGAAAACAGCCTAAATCCTCATTAAAAATTAGGACAGAGCTGGGGATTTAGCTCAGTGGTTCCAACACCTGCCTCGCACATGCAAGGTCCCGAGTTCGATCACCGGTACCAAAAAAAAAAATAGGACAGAATGGTCAAAAGTAAGCAGAGCCCTGCCAGGAGAGCCGGGCCCCAGGACTGCAGACCAGGGCGTGGGGACAGGGCCTATGGACTCAGAACACAGCCAAGCCTGAAGGAGACTCCAGTCCTCCACTGCACACAGCATGTGCATGGGGCCGGGAAGACCAGGCCAGCTCAGCCACACGCTGAGGGTCGGTGGATCTCCAACCGGGGCCAGGCGTCCCCAACACACTGCGACATCCCATGAGCCAGGATGCATGCCGAGTGGACAGCTCCGCAGACCCACTGCCACGAGCCACGGGGGATGCTGCATGGCAGAGCCCAAGACAGAAAGCTGCTGAGTGGAGGCTGGGGTGGGAGGCCGAGGAGCGGGGCAGGCGTCCAGCAAGCAGACTCAGACGCCATCAAGTTCTTCCCAGAACACACGTGCAGGGCAATTACTCCCCCAAGACCACCTCGAGGTGGGGTCTAATCTTTCCAGGATCCAGCCCGTCCTCAGGGAAAGCAGGGTAAGAACAGAGGCGTGTCCAAGCGGGCTGTGTTCAGGACCCTCCAGATGACCTTGTCAGGAAATGCCAGGGAGGAAGCGATGCGGAGAAGGCATGGCTCAGCGGCTTCCTGACCTGGGCCTCAAGGACTGCAGGGTGTCAGGCTGAAGACCTCAGCCGTTCACTGAAGGCGGGGCATCAGTGCGGTGGTGGGGTCTTCGTGGTGCGTACACGGATGCTCACGGAGGCCTTGCTGTAACCGCTGTCCTCAGCCCTGTCCCGGGGCGGTTCCCTCCAGCAGGGTGTGCCCTGGGCAGCACTGTCATCTCCCCGCACCCAGACTGCACGCTGCCTCTGAGCCTCCAGCTGTCTGCCTGCCCATTCTTCCTGAGTCCGGGATTTCCACGAGAGAAAAGCCTTTACAATCCGAAGTCGTGGGGACTCTCCGCCCCCGACAGCACTGGCATAGCCAGGACATGCGTGTCTAGTTGCCGTGCTGGAAGGGCGGTCAAGCGAGTCCTCTTCTGTGCTGCTGGGGATGGAACCCAGGGCCTGGAGCATGCCGGGCAGGCGCTTTCCGAGGACAGCAGGGAGCCTCCTGATGCTGTGGCTCCCGAGCTGCGAGCCTGGGCCACACAGAGGGCAGAGCCTGGCAGGGCTGCCTAGTGACTGTGCCCCTGGTGTGCACGCCATCCCAGCCGCCTCTGGCTTGGTGCTGAGGCCAGGGGACCAGGAGATGAGCCCCTCACACTGCAAGTCCTCCCCGCTGGCACTCAGCGGGTGCCAGGGCAACAAGGGCAGCACCATGCTTGGCACGCTGCCCAGCTTACGGAACACGATGTGGTCAGGCCCCGGGTGCAGCCACTCAATTCCTATCCCCTGCCCCTCACCCCGCGCTGGGCAGTCACAGCACCACTGCACACAGGTGGTCGGGATGAGACCCGTGCTCAGCCCTGCCCAGTGACCCAGGAGGCCACCCCAGGCAAAGGAATGTGCTCACCAAGGGACACTGGGCAGCTAAGGAGCAGGATCAGCTGGCGTGCTGCCCCACCCCCTGACCTCCCCTGACCCTAGGGCGACATGTCTTACATCTATCTGTACTGCAGTTTCGTGGAGCAACACAATCTCCTCCCTTTGAACAAAGGCTGGTGTGGGGCTAGGGATGAGCTTGGTGGAGAGCATTTGCCCGCATGCAAATGGAAAAATGAACCTCCAGGAACAAGCAACGGCAAGAAGGGGGGTAAGGGGGGTAGGTGTGTGTGTGTGTGTGTGTGTGTGTGCGCGCGCGTGCGCGTGCATGTGAACGCACAGGTGGCCCGCTGTGGGCAGCCACCATGTCACGGGGCACAGGCTGGGCCGAGCAGGGCGGGACAGGAAGCAGTCACAGCGGGACAGCAGTAGGGACATAACACCAGAGCTGGACCACGCGAGCCCTGGTGGGGTCACCTGCATGTGCGCCCCGGCAGAGAGATGACGATAGCTCCCCGAGGTGCCCCAGCCTGACTCAGCCACGTGACAGTGACCTCCATGCCAGCCACCCGGGCTACACGCTGCCTAATGCCACCGCAGCCCGTACCCCGCGAACCACACCTCCCACAGCCCTGGGTCCTCTTGTCTTACGAGGCTCAGCAGTGGCACCAGAGGCAGAGTGACTGCCAGGCTCGTCACCCCCCCCCCCAATCACTTGGAGCAACAGGCGTGCAGGGCGAGGGCCCCTGGGGCGGGCGGCCACTCACCTTGGTGCTGTCCAGCAGGAGCCCGTCTCGGCCCAGGCCGGGCCCCACCACCAGGGCGTGCAGCCGGGGCAGCCACTTCTCCACCTCCTGTGCCGCGTTGGGGCTGTCGCTGGGTGAGCAGAGGGGAGAGCCTCCTTAGAACTCCTGTCTGCTCGCTTCTCACAACACTTTGTTTTCAAAGAAGGATTTCCTCTTCTTTTTTTAATTTTTAAAATAAATTTTATTCTATTTTATCCCATTTCCTCCCAAGCCCCTCCATTCCCCATGTACAAAGCTTTGTTTCCAACGTGAAAGGATTTTCCATTTACAGAAAACGCAGGAGAACCGTGCTGCCCATCTCCATCGGGCGTGACGCCTCCAGCTCTGCACGTCCTGGAAGAGGAGCTCAGCGCGGACTCAGGGCCACACCCAGCACAGTGCCACTTCTCACAGGCACAGGTGCCAGCAAAACAGGACAGAAGTGGAGGCCCCGGCCCCAAGCCACACAGGGCAGCGCAGGGCACGTGGCATCGCTGAGGAGGTCAGCAGGAAGCACGTGGGAGCCAGGGTCCCCCGACTCCCACCCACCCGACCGCCCATGGGACTCACAGCACCGGGTGGACAATCAGCTCCGGGCTGTAGGCCTTGATCACTGGTGCCGCCTCCCGGACACAGAACACATGCGACAGATCCGCACCCTGGGAAACCAGGCAGGGTGATGAGCAGGAACAGGAGCAGGGACACCACGGGCACCACGCGCCCTCCCCGCCTAGGGAGACAACCCTGCAGCCGGAACACACCCAGGGGGCCCAGAGGGCAGGTGGCGTCAGGAAGTGTGTGGGCCCGCCCTGGAGGCGCCCACTGGGCAGAGGCCCTAAGATCCTACTCCAGAAAGTTGGAAGGAAAGGATGGCAGGGTG